TAGTGGTGGTGGTGGTGATGGTGATGATGGTGATGATGGTGATGGTGGTGGTTGTGATGGTGGTGATGGTGGTGGTGGTGGTGGTGGTGATGGTGGTGATGATGGTGTTACTCCCAAGTGCCCCATTTTGGATGATAAATTACATGGGTCTGTACCTACCCCCCATGGCATGATGTCCCTGAAGACCCCAGCCCCTGCTTAGCTGAATGTCTGTGCCTCACCTGTTATCTTCCAACCTGGAGCTGCCCCAGTTGGGCCCTCATGTGCCTGGTGAACAGAACTTTCTTTCCTCCTGCCCCTGCCTAGGGTGCCTTCCTATTCCTCCTTTCTACCTGCCTCTGCATTCAAACTCCCAAGCTTCTGCCAACATGGTGAAGGAAGGTGTGAGTCACCTCCTGGCTCAAGCCAGGCCTGCAAATAAATTCAAGCTCTGCCAGCCTCCAGTGCATTCGTCAGCTTGAACCCTACTTCCTGGTTGAAAACCGAGAATTGGGCCATGTGGTTGCTCTTGCCTCAAGTTGGGGATGGGTCTGAGGATGGAGTCTGGCCCCCTTGCTGCTCTCTCTAGTCCAAGTTCGTGGAGGCCTGGCCAATGTCTGATGGAGGGCCGCAAATCCCTCTGCCCTCGTTTTCTGGGTCCTGGGTTGATAGCCAGAAAAAGAGAAGGAAGCAGAAACCCAATCTCCGTCTTTAAATATCCTCTCAGCTGTCTCTGCGGATAGGATGCAGCTTTGGTGGGAAAGTAGAAGGAAGCCAGACTTAGGCTCAGCACTAAGACCAGGACAGACACTGCCCAGTAAGAGAACTGTGTGGTAGTGAACTCCCCATCACTTGTAGGGTTTGCAGGGGTGGAGGGAGGGGCATTCTGTGCTGGGGAGGGGGGGGGAGGGCTGGTCTGGCGGAGCTGAGGCTCTGTGGCCACCTGATGGTTCCGAGCAGATCCCGTGCAGCAGGATAGAAAATCCTGCACAGAGGTACAGGGTGATACTCCCACCATGTGGATGAGCTTTGAAACCGAGGCGCAGAGAGAGAACCAATCTCACAGGGTGTCATGTAACTGGTAGACTTGGAGTTGGCCAGTCCAGCCAGCATTTGCTGTGTAACCCGTCCCTTGTGACCAGGATGGGGGAGGTCAGGGAGGTTCTGGGTTAGGGCCTGAGGTCGCCCCCGTGGAACCTTCTAGAAAGTCCAACCAGCCCCGGCGTCATGGCAGACCCCTCCAGGGGGCAGGCAGCTAGTGCCTGTTGCATCCAGGCAGCAGTGAACCGTCCAGGGAGGGAGGATTCATCCTCTGTTCAGTGTCTCCGCAACGATCACGGTCTCTCGGTCCTAATCAGAGCGGTAGCCTTGAGTTAATCCCTTGAACCGTCACAGTGACCCAGTGGAGTAGGTGCTCTTGTCACCCTGTTTACAGATGAGGAAACTGAGGCACAGAGCGGTTACCCCAGGTCACACAGTTGGCTTGCTTGGGGACCAGGGTTCAAACTGGTCAGAATTGCAGATCCCTGGGCCCCTCCTGGACCGATTGATGAGGCAGCGCTTTGGGGGTGGGCCCCGCAGTCCAAGTCTTCACAATCCCTGGCCTCGGGCGCACACTTGCCCCTGAGAACTCCCTCGGTGAGGGAGAGAGCTTGGCGATAACCCCCCATTTTGTGGATGAGCAGACTGAGACTCGGGGAGTTAAGCCACTTACTTGTCCAAGGGGCGTCCACATTGGCCCCTATGCCCTGATGTCTGTTAAGTGAGCGGAAGGAAGTGGCATCGCTGGAGTCCGCATGCAGAGGCAGGAACCCAGTGGTTAGGGACATGGGACGCAGGGTCAGCCCTCTCCTGCCCCCGTGCAGTATGGCCTGGGGCAAGTGCTTCGGCCGCTCCATGCCTCAGTTTCCTCATCTGCACGAGATGCGGCTTGTCCTGATCTTAGGGGTTGCTGAGGATTAAATGAGTCACGAGCACGAAGGGCTCTGTGCACAGCTCAGCACCCACAAGAGAAGCCCTATTCCAATTATGATTTCTGGGAGCAGTGGGCCGTCAAGGGAGGTGAGCACTGGGAGAGGCCGGGGAGGGGGCAGTGGGGGCTGAAGAAAGCCTTCGTGCAGGGCCATGGCAGTCCCCTGCCCACCTGGCTCTGCGGCTGAGTGATGGGATGGGTCCAGGGCCCCAAAGGCCGCTTCTGCAGCCCTGCCCACCTCTGAGGTCAGCACTCCCACCCTCAGAGTCCTGGGGACACAGATTCACAGAAGGCCCGTGACTTGTCCAAGGACACCCAGGAGTGGGCGGGACTGACTCCTCACCCTGCACCACCTCACTGTGGGCCGGGGCTGCTGCAGGTCACCTGTGGGTCTGAAGGGAGAGGGCACGTCGCTCCAAAATGAGGGCCGCTAGAGGTCCCCCTGTTGCCTGCCTCCCTGGCCACCCCCTTTCTCCTGCTGCTCCTGCCGTCTTGCTTCTAATCCTTCTCTTGCTTCCTTCCAGCCTTACACACCTCTGGGAACGAGGTGCCCAGAGGGGAATGCAGTGGCCCAGGTACGAATGTGGCCGGCTGGCCTGGGGGTGGGGTAGGGTAGGGCTGTGCTGGGGTCAGGGGCATCCCGAGGTCACCTGTCCTCAGCGAGGGGCCCCCCTTCTGGGAGCATGCCTCTGAGTGCCAACATCTGTGCTCCCGCTTCTGTCCCCCTTCCCCGTGTGGTGTCTGTTCACCGTGCTGTTCCCTGACTCGCTCTTGCAGATCTGTGCACTCGGCTCCGCTGCCCTGTTGATTTTCACCGGTGTTCTCATCCGTGACTTTCACCTTGTTTGATTTCCCAGCAGCAAGTGCAGGGCTTTTCACATGTCCCCATTTTACACAAAATGGGGGAAATTGAGGCCCAAAGAAGTGACAGGAGTATTTTTTTTTAAGGCTGAAGAACCAGGTGGGAGGCTAGCCTCCCTCACCCTTCATCTGTACGCGCGTTCAGTCACACGGTTAACACTTAACTGTGCACCTGCCAGGTGCCAGGCCGTGTGGGAATGCCGTTGGGGCCCTTTCCCCTCGGGCTCCTCAGAGTTCCCTGACGCAGTAGCCAGTAGTCACCAAGTGCCACCCCGTGCTGCCACACCCCTGGCTTACTCCCCCCCGGGAGCTGGGGTCTGTTTCCGCGCTCTGCAGATGGCGAGAGCAAGGCCCACAGGTAACCTGCATTACCGCGGCCGGGCTTCCAGCCTGGGCAGAGCCAGCGGTGGAGTGCAGATGAAGGCCCGCGGCCCTGGCTGCGCAGGGGGGCCAGCGACCCCAGGGGCTGGAAGTTAGTGAGGTGGCTGGGCGCCAGCGTCAGCATGGGGAGAAGGTGGCAGTGGGGGAGGCAGGGCCCAGGACCGGGAGGGGCCTCAGGGCCGTTGTGTCAAGCTATGGGGCCACTCAAGGCATCCCGAGTTTGTGCCCTGGAGCTGGGATGGGCAGGTCCGCTTCACCCCTGAGCCCCCCAGCACCACTCACCCTGCCTCCCTCTCCCCCCCACAGCCACGGTCAACAACAGTTCTGACACCGAGAGCATCCCCTCGCCCCGCACCGAGGCCGCCAAGGACACGGGGCAGAACGGGCCCAAGCCCCCACCTGGCCCCGGCAGCGACGTGCCACCTGCCGAGCCACCCACCCCACCACCAGAGGACGCTCTGGCCCCCACCGAGCCCACCCCAGCCCCCGAAGCCACCGGCCCGCCCACGCCCCCGCCAGCACCCGCGTCGCCCACCGCACCCCCTCCTGTGGTCCCCAAGGAGGAGAAGGAGGAGGAGGATGCGGCAGCCCCCCTGGCGGTGGCGGAGGAGGAGCAGAAGCCCCCCGTGGCCCGAGAGCTGGCTGTGGACGTGGGCAAGACGGAAGAGCCTGGTGAGGCGCCCCCCGCGGAGCCCATCAAGAGCGAATGCAAACAGGAGGCCGCGGAGGAGGGGCCCGACAAGGGCAAGGGGGGCTCTGAGGCCAGCGCCGAGGCCGTGCCCGAGGGGGCCCTCAAGGTGGAGAAGAAAGAGGGCGGTGGCCCCGGGGGCAAAGCTCCCACAGCCAAGGGCGCGGGAGCCCCCCAGGACAGCGACTCCAGTGCCACCTGCAGTGCAGACGAGGTGGACGAGCCCGAGGGGGGTGACAAGAACAGGTGAGTGGGCAGAGCGGGTGGCGGCTTCGGTCTTCTGCCAGCATCGAGGGGCGGCGCACGGGCCGATTCGGTGCCTGCCCTCCAGGAGTGTGGCTAGGCGCAGAAGGGCACAGCCCCAGCCCGTCTGGAAGGGGAGCGTGCCAAGCAGTGGGGCCGGCTGCCCGGGGCCGTGGGTGGCTGTGGGTGTGGCCGGGTCCCTGCTGCTGCGAAGGCTCTTGCTGCTCCAGCTTCTGGGGTGGCGACCGTGCTTGGCGCTCCTCGACTCGTAGACGCGTCACTCCCGTCTCTGCCTCTGTCTTTGCGTGGCATTTTCCTGTGTGTCTGCGTGCCCAAGTTTCTTTTTCTTGTGAGGACGGCATCACTGGCTTCGGGTCCACCCTAATGACCCCCTCTTAACTTGATCACATCTGCAAAGAGCCTGTTTCCAAATTAGGTCACATTTACAGGTCCCTGGCTGTTGGGGCTTGAGCATGTTTGGGGAGGGTGGGGGGCAGAGTTCTATCCTTAACAAGGCAGGAACATCAGGTACCAAGGCCCGGGGGTGGGAAACAGCGGGTGTGACTTGGGCAGAGTGGTGGAGCCAGTGAGGGTCAGGGCTGCAGTCCATTCTCGGGGGAACGCCCCGTGCAGCTGGGTGTCACTTGGGCTCAGAAAGCGGCCGGCTGCCGATGCGGGGATTCAGTGGGTGTCAGAGAGGCACAGGAGACGGCTGCCCTGTCCTAGCAGACAGTGATGGGGGTCTGCCTGCGGATGCTTGTGACACGCTCCCGAGATCACTGGTGGCTCGTGTCCCACCTGCCGAGGGTCCGGGTATGGGAGCTTCGAGCCCCTGTCCTGGCTCTCAAGTCGATTGAGCCGTTGAGGCTGCTGTTCTGCGGGGGTGGCCTGGAGGGACCCCCCGTGCCATCCTGTTTGGGTGCCGCCGTGTCTGAGATGTGTTCCTCCCTTTCTTACCTTTGTCTTTGCTCCTGGCCTGGGGTGCCCCACCCCACCTCCCACCCAAGCCCCTGGAGCACTGGATTTTACCCATGTTTGGCACAGATGCTCGAGGACCCTGAGCCCTGAGACCCCCGGCCAGAACCAGAGCTCAGACCCCCGAGTAGGGGCCGGCTGAGGGCAGAGGTGCAGAGACCCGCTCCCACCCACATCTGGACACTGGAGGAATGTTTTCTAGTGAGGCAGGCGGGTCGTTTTTATTTTGACTAAAAACAGTGCGGTCTGTTGTCTCTCCTCTCCCGTCTCTCGGAAAAGTTCTGGGCAGAGCGAGAGGGAGGAAAATCTGACTTTCAAATCGCCGAGTTCACTCAGAGCCTTTCCTCTGCCCCGTGATTCACCTTGGGGCATGTTAAAATGGCAAGTTCTAGAACATCTCTTGTGAAAATCGGATTCATCCAGAGCTCTGTGGGTCTTCCTCCACAAAAGGAAGTGAGCCACGTTGTCTTCAGATTCCTGTGTCCGGGGGTCCCTGGGAACCACTGCTGGCAGGAGCCTCGCCCCGTTTGTGTCTGGAAGTTAGTCTGGTGGGTGGCTCTGTGACCAGCAGAGGCCTAGCCATTAGGCTTCTGAGGGCTCAGAGGCTCCTGAGCTTCTTGCCCTTAGAAAACAGATGCACTGTGGCCCGGTTGTCCAGGGAGGGCCCACGGCCAGGGACCCGCTGCTCCACTCACTCTCTCTGCCTGGGTAATGGGGTCAGGGCGGGCGGCTCCCCACCCTGCTCCTGCTGGCCACGGGGACGGAGTCATGGAAACATGTTTCTGCTCTTAGCGGGAAGAGTGCTGAGCTCATGGGGCAACCACGCTGATAAGCAGCCTCCTGGAGTCTGTGTTTTGGGTTCACATGGCCTGCCCAAGACTGGGGAACTGGGAAGGCTGGGCTAAGCCCCGCCAACCCCTTGGATCCCTCTGGCCAGGCCTGAAGTCCCGAAGGCCACTTTCAGCCTCCCTTTCCCCCCTGACAGCCCCACCCAGGGACGTGTCCTTCCCTCCCTTGGCTGGGTCTGCCTCCATCCACTCTTCCTGCCTGAATGTCCAGCATTCGATCCCCAGGAAGCAGCGGCCCTGGGCTGGGAGTCAGGACACCTGGTTTGTCACGCCCTGTGTGACCGAGGCTGGTCCCCCGCCCTCGGAGCCAGGCTGGACTTAGGCCAGCTTGCTGACCTCTTCCTGGCTGGCCGCCTGCCACCCCCTCCCCCCCCCAGCCACAGCCGCGCAGGCAAGATGCGTCAGAGCACGCCCTGGCAGCCAGGGCCTCCCGGAAGGGCTGGCGGGACGGGTGGGCCCCTGTGCGACCCCAGGTCCTGGCTGGCCGCCCACCACCCTCCTTCCCGCCTGGCAGCCCTGGTGTGGTGAGCCAGGCGTCCCTGGACAGGCCCAGGATGCGTCTCGTTCTGGCTGCTGCCCGACGACCTTTGGAGAGAGAAATCATATTCTGCTTTTACTCTCCATCACCTTCTGCCAGGCAGCTCCGCCTGGGAGTTTTCTTGGCTGACGACCAGAGATAGTGGATTTGATTGCTAAGCCTTGAGCTCGCCTGCCCTCCTCTGTCCCAGTTTCCAGAGAGGGTGCCTGGGTACTTTCTGGTGGGGTGGAGACTTCAGAAAACCCCTTCCCCTGGGCCTCAGTTTTCTATAAGATGGGTGTGGTGTCCCTACTTTCGGGCTTCCTGTGAGCATAATGGAGGTCATAGCATAAACTGCAGCCTGGTGCCAGGCCCACACACACTAGGTGCTCAATGAACAGTTAGCTGCCTTCGGATCTGCTTTAGGAACACCGAAAGTGTACTCCAAGAGCGGGCTGGAGTGTGACTTCTTCCCCCATGCCCCTGAAATTTTGAAGGAATCCCAACAGCAATTTCCCTTTTATTTCTTTATTCCGTAAATGATTGACTGGGCACCAGGGTGTGCCAGGCGCCCTTCTAGGTGCGAGGGATGCTGGGAACAGAACAGATGACCCCTGATTCCAGAGTGCTTCCATTCTGGCGAGAGTGGCTAGTATGGGATGGGAACATTCAAGAAGCAAAACTGCTCCTGTGATAAGTGGGAGATGGGAAGATCAGGGGTGCTGGGCAGAGGCCGTGTGTGGAGCAGTCAGGGATGCCTCTCTGAGGAGGTGGCATGGGAGGGATCAGAGTCTGTAGTGGGAGGTGTGGGAGGAACGGCCAGTGCAAAGGCCCTGCGGCTGCATGAGTTTATGTTCGGTGGAAGGCAAAGAGGGCTGTGGCAGAGCGGAGGGAGGGAGAGGGACAGGAGAGGAGGTGACAGGTGGGCAGGGACCTGGCCCTACAGGGAGCAACAGAACCATGTCTATGCAGACAGTGTTCACGACCAGCCTTCCCTTACCCTCCAGCATGGCAGCAAGGATGAGCTCAGCCTGGTGATCATAGGGAAGCCAAGGGGGGCACTTAGCAGACAGAGAGGGGCACCCTGTCCAGACCCAGGGTGTCCCCAGTCCTTCGTTTCTCATCCCCCTCCCCCAGCCCTGGCCCTCCAGTGTGGGAAGAAAACCCACAGTGATTTGAAGATCACCTGACCCGCTCAGCCCCAGGTGCTGCTATCCATTTTTCGTGTGCAGTCCTTTGTTCCACCCACAGAACAGCCCTGGGAGGGCAGGGGTGACTGTTCTCATGCCCATTTTACAGATGGGGAAGCCGAGGCACAGTGGTTCTGTCCGACAGCTGAAGGTGGGATTTGAACTGGGAGCATGAGCCCTGAACCGCTCCCAGCCGCATTGCTGGCTTCCCCTCTCCTCCTGGGTCACATGCCTGGTGCCAGGCTCCGAGAGCCCCGCCCCCCCCAGGCCTCCGGAGAGGAACATAAAAGCTGCTGTCTTCCAGGAAAACAAAGGAAAGAGCACAGAGGCAGGGCTGCCCCTGAGGAGGGCTCCTGGAGGCAGCGCTCACCCACTGTGGCGGCTGGAACGAGGGAAAGTTGGGAGTCCTGTCCGTGCTAAGTATCTTCCCAGACGCTGAGGCTTGTGAAGGACTTGAACCCAAGCCCTTGCTCTTGGATGCTGGCCTCTTAGAGTGAGAGGTCGGGGTGGTGACAGGAGGCCTCTCGTAACTGTGAAGTGCTATGCCCATGGCCCCAGTCCCCGCTGAGCTCCTGCCTCACTCGGTGGGGGACTCCGGAAAGAGGAGTCTGGGTCTCTGTGTGTGCCCTGAATGGGTGCTTGCTGAGAGCGTTTGAGGGGGGTCCCTGCTCCCCTGCTCTCTAATGTGATGGGACCCTTCCTGGGTGAGGAGCTGTTGGGAAACCGAAGGAGGGCCCAGGGGCCCTAGTTCGCTGGCAAACACTTCACTTTGTATGTGTTATAAAAGCATACTTACATGATAGAAAATGTTATTTTTTAACTTTAGTACTGTGTCTTGTAGTAGTTTCGTATTTTTGTACACCTGTAAAATACTACATTTCATCGTTTGTGGAAACGGTACAGTTAATCAAACTCTTGATTTCATGGTTAGCACATAGTACATTCTTTATTTTCTTCTCACGACAGCTTTATGGAGCTATAATTCAGCGACTATACAAGTCAGCCGTTAAAGCATGCAGTTGAGTGGATTTTAGTCTGTTCACAGAGGCGTGCGACCATCACTGCTGTTGAACTCCAGAACGTTTCCGTCACCCCAGAAAGAAACCCTGTACCCTCCAGCATCACTCCTCGTTCTGCCCCCAGCCCCTGGCCTCCACTCAGGTCTCTTCTGTGGATTCGCCCCTTCTGGACATTTCTTATCAGTGGATCCCCACAACACGTGGCCTTTTGTGTCTGGCTTCTCTCACTCGGCATCTTGTTCTCAAGATCCGTCCATGTTGTAGCAGGTGTCATACTTCTTCCTTTTTATGGCTGAATCGTAGTCTGTTGTGTGGACGGACCCGTGTTTGGATATTTGGGTGCCTTCCACCCAAATATGGTGCAGCTGTGAGCTTCGTGAATAGGTTTTCTTGTGGACCTGTGTTCTCAGTTCTTGTGGGCAGACCCCCAGGAGCCGGGTTGCCAGGTCAGGTGATAACTGCGTTTCGCCTCTTGAGGAACGGCCAGACTTCTTCCAAAGCGGCATATCCATTTTTAAATTGAAGTTTACAAGTGCGGGTCGGTTTAAATGGGTGCTGGGAGGTAGAGGGAAGGGGAGGCTGGGCGTGGTGGAGGGTTGAGGCAGGTGGGGAGGTCAGGACAGCTGATGGCGTTGGTGCTTAGGCCCGTTAGGGTGCCTGGGCCCGGGTCCTGAGTGCAGGGGAGCAGGGAGGGCCGGCGGCTACAGGAAAGGCCCCAGAGCTCACGGAGCAGAGCGCGAGCAGGGTCTGGGGAGGTGGAGAGGTGAGGGCGGGAGGGAGGGTGAGCAGGTGGGGAGGACCGTGGAGGCCGGCTGAGCATGGAGAAGTCAGAACGACCTTCCCCTGCGCCCGGCCCCACCTGCACGCCTCGGGCAGCCCCACCAGGCGTCACCGTGTCTGTCTCCGCTCAGCCGAGCATGTGGCAGATGCGGGTGGGAGGCAGGTACCCGCAGCACAGCCTGTCATGGCCACGGCTCGGTGGCCCCACCACCATCGAGAGCAGAGGGCACCTAGGCCCTGAGTCAGGTGTCTGCCTGGCTCCATCCGCAGAAGGAGGCGTGCTTTCCTCTTCGCTGGGGGTCTGGCACCAGCTGCCGGGCTGCGGAGTGGTGTGAGCCATGTTCTGGTTGTCACGGCTCTTACCTGGAAGGCAGTGCTGTGGCTTCTAGTCTGCACGTGGCATCACCTGGTATGGTCGCAGAGCACAGTAGGGGCTGTGTCCACAGGACCCTCCAGCTTTGGGGACCCAGCCTTAGCTTTGCCCTCTGGGTGAATCCCAGCCCATGGCCAGTGCCCTCATGCACCCTGTTCGGTCATCTGCTGTGGCGTCCTGCAGGCCGAGACCAGATCCTGGGTGTCTGTGCTCCCCAGGCACAGCGCTGGGTCGGCTGTGTGCTCAGCAAGTGCAGATCGCAGGAGAGAGTTAACAGCTGGGCAAGAACCTGGCAGCCTTGGTGGGTGGGTGAGGGTGTGAGGTGGGGGCAGACTGAGCTCCCACCTTGGACACTCCATGCCAACTAGGGAGCCAGACGGGGTTTGTGGCAAGTTGCTGTGCCCAATACTCTGGGATTTCCTGGAAATCCCTGAAGTCTTCCTGAAGGAGGTGACATCTGTGAACAGCTCAGGAGCCCCACCCCGCAGGGCAGGCTCTGCCTGGGTGCCCCAGACTCTGCAGCCCTACACTGGAGGGACCCTGCCCCTGGCATCTGCTTCGGCCCCACTGTGTGCCCTTTACAGGTGCCCAGTTCTGTACGTCTACAGCAGATGGACATGACCTCACTTTGGGGAATGAAGCATTTATAGGCCCGGTTCAGCTCATGGCCACACTTCTGGCCAGTAGGTAGACCGTGTACTTGCTGACCAGCCCCTCCATACAAAGCCTGCAGTCTACCTGCTTTTAGCCCTTCAGTAAACAGTGAGATTCTAGTTAGTGGAACATTCTGGTTGAGAGGGTAGGTTCCCCAACTCCTGTCCTCCAATAAGTGGGGTCCACTCAGTCCCACGCCCTGGTGCCTGAGCCTCTCATATTTGGGTGATGAATAATCTCTTAAACTCACCAAGCCTTCATCTAGTTGATTCTTCGGCTTTCTGCAACTTCTGGCGGGCCATGTGTGGCTCGGGCCCTGAGTCCGGGCGTCCCTGGGACTTTGCTTGCCTCGGGCTCTCTGGGGAGTGTTTGATCCTGGCCTGGGCCTCTGGGCTGGGGTTGGAAGAGATCTTGGCTCCTCATGGAGCCAGCAAGGACCAGAGGAGGGAGGGAGGAGTCGTCTGTCCCTGCTCCCCACCCCCAGAGTCCTGGTTGGTCTCCTCGGCCGGGTGACCCTGGACATTTGCCTCACTTCTGGTAGCCCCTCCAGCCCCGTCGTGCAGGACTGGAGCCAGGAGAGGCCAGCTGTGAGCCTGCGGGCTGACGCTCGTCTCTCTCTCAGGCTGCTGTCACCACGGCCCAGCCTCCTCACCCCGACCAGTGACACCAGGGCCAACGTCTCACCCCAGAAGCCGCTGGACCTGAAGCAGCTGAAGCAGCGGGCAGCCGCCATACCCCCAATCGTGAGTGCCCCGGCACCCCCTCTCGCACCCCAGAACTACTGCCAAGCAAGGCCTCAGCCACCGTGCCCCCCCCCCCACCCTTCACCGCTGCTTCCAGAAGGCAGTAGATCAGGGCGGGCGCAAAGCCCCAGGGGGCGGGGGGCAGCACCTGCAGCCTCGCTCTTCCCAGCTCTTCCCAGCTCTTCCCAGCAGCCTCGTGTTTCCTGGAGAAATCCCCATGGAGATGAGGTGGGAACGGCTCCAGGGAGCTGGCAGGCGTGCAGGGTGGGGCTCTGGAGGAACCAGGGAGCTGGCGGCCTGCTGGTCTCCCTTCTGCCCTCCCAGCCTGGTGCCCTTGGGCCCCTCACTGCCGTGGCTCTCAGGCTTGTCATGTGCAGGGGGCCGGAAGGCTGTTCCTCGTCTCTGTGGCTCCTGGACCGCCTGTAAAGATACTCTCCCCCCTGCTTCTCTCAGCAGGTCAGCAAAGTCCATGAGCCCCCCCGGGAGGACACAGCTCCGCCCGCCCCCCCGCCACCGCAGCCCCTGCAGCCAGAGAACGACACCCCCCAGCAGCCCAGCAGCAGCCCTCGAGGCAAAAGCAGGAGCCCCGTGCCTCCTGCTGACAAGGAGGGTGAGTGTGTGCCCGTGGCCGTGGTGGAGAGCAGGGGAGAGTGGGGGGCCTGGCAGGGATGAGGGATAAGGGGCGTCTGTGCATCCAGAGCAGCTGCTGCGGACTCCAAGCAGAGTAGCGGGGCGGGCCAGCTAGAGGACTCGAACAGGTCGGGGGGACAGTAGGGCACGGCGGGAACGGGGGTGAATCAGAGGACCCCTGCTCTCTCTAAGGTAGGCACATACTGGCTTTCAGCCAGGTCACCCCGTGGCAGGACAGGCCTGCCGTTGTGCTTCTGGGGAAGCCAGAAATCCATGTTTTCACCTGAGCTGCAGTTTCTCAACGTTGGCAACTTTAAAACATTTTCAGAAGCATTGTATATGCATGTAAGCACGTCTGTGGCTCAGCCTCTGACTCCATGTGATTCAGCCCACACATGAGCTTCTAGAACCGTGGTTGAGGTTCAGCGCCCAGCTGGCAGCAACTCTGGGGCCTGGGCAGGAAGCACTGCTCCCTCCAGCTCTCATCCTGACCTTACTCCAGGCGGGGGTCCCTGGGTTCACTGGGGAGCCGTGCGAGTAATTCCCTGAGCAGCTGTGTTCCAGCAACTGCCCAGGGCGTGCTTTATTGTTGTCACGTGAAGCTCAAGGTCAGGAGACAGGCAAGGCGTGGTTTCTTGGATTATCTGTCTCTGCCTCACATTTCCCACTGGACCCAAGAAGCTCCAGGCCTGTGTCCCCAAAGGGGCACCCTCTCCAGAGCAGCCTGGCGTGCCGCACGGGCCATGTGCATCACAGGTGATGGGAGCCGGTCCTCCGGGGGTCCCCCCACACTGGGCTAGCCTAGGCTTCTGCTGGCTCCTGCCCTCGGGATCTGAGGGCAGCAGGACCCCAGCCCACCCTCCCTGAGCAGCACAGTACACGGGTGGGCTCGGGTGGGCTCAGGTGGCCTGCACCCCCTGCTTGGGTAGAACAGCCCTTCTTCTCTAGAAAGCCAGGCTGGCCCTTGGCCACAGGCCTCCTTGAGGATGGGTGTTGCTTGCCTGTCTGAGGACAAAGAGCAGGGCTATCCCTGAAGGAGGACGGCTCCACACTTCCCACAAGTGACACAGGCCTGCCAGACATTCCCTGTTTAATCAACCTGCCCCCTTGCCTCCCTGCGGCCGCTTCCACCTGCTGCAGAAAGTCTCAGACGCCACCCACAGGGGCGGGCGTGCATCCTGGCCAGCACACGGGCTGTCCTGTGGCTGTCCACTGGACCAGGACATTTGCTGAACACCTGTGATGGCCAAGTGCTGGGCTAGGCACTGGGGGTTCGGCAGTGAGCAGGATGAACTCCTTGATTCGGGGAGCTCTTTCTGTGATCGAGAAGGACGTTAAGGCAGGACACGCACATAAGGAAGCAAGATGACTTTAGGTTACTTCATGCAATTGAAGAAAAAAGCAGGGTGAGGAGGGGCTCAGAGGAGCAGTTTCTCTGGAGATGATGAATCAGTCATGGGAAGATTCCGGGGTGCAAAGGCCCTGGGGTGGGGACAAGCTTGGTGTGTTTGGGGAGCTGCCAGAAGGTCGCTGTGGCTGGGGAGAGGGTAGGATAGAGGATCAGAGAGGGAAATGGGGACCCATGATTGTGTAAGGCCTCGTAGGCCATGGTACCACGGGGACTTTGTCTCTGGTGTGGGAGAAGCCTTTTCAGGAGGAGTTTTAATGTGTTTGTGTTGTGGGAGAGAATCTGCTTTCTGTTTTGGAAAGATTTCTTTCTCTCTGATCATTGTTGAGGAGTAAGAGCTCCAGGGTGTTGGGCAGATGGAGGAGGCCACAGTGCTGTTCCTGATCAGCTGTGGTGGCAGCCTGGGCTGCAGGGGTGACCATGGAGGTGGGGAGGAAGGGGGTGCGCGGGGAGTTTGTTTCAGAGGCAGAGCCAGTGGGGCCTGCTGATGAACTCGAGTGGGGATGGGGCCGGGGTGTCTGCCTTCTCTTGGGACCCTGCGCCCCCCCCCGTACTGGGGCCAGGACAGCCCGTGATGGGAGTGGCGTTTGCTGGGCGAGAGCGGGGTCTGGCTCCAGAAGACCTTCCAGCCTTGGGGCAGCAGCCCAGGTGTTGGCTGTGCGGTGATGTCCGGGGCCCAAACAGCTCTGGCCTGTGTCAGATCTGAGCAGGGCTAGGCTGCCCGTGGGTGGCTGGGCACCACACGGGGCTCGCCAGGACCTGCTGGGACAGGTCATAGGCTCTGTCCTGGGAGAAAGTGAGCCACCACCAGTGGTTTCTGAGTCTGGCCTAGGGTTGTGCTGTTCCCTGGAAGGGCACCCCGCCGCAGACGGTGTGCCGGGCAGCAGGCACTGTGTGCTTTTCTCACAGGGTCCGCCTCGCTGCTCAGTGTCCTTAGGCACATGTGTGAACTTGACATCCAGCACTACCTCTCTGGTCTCGCAGGAGCCTTCCCTGCTCCCTGGCCCCTGCGTGGAGCGGCTCAGCCAAGCCAGGCCCTCGACTCCCCTGGGGCCAGCTGGAGGAACAGGTTGTCTCTGCAGGCTCTCGGCCTCCTGCCCAGCCTGGCCCAGCCCCAGATTTCCCTTCCAGCCCTGGAACCCAGCACAGGCCAGGCGCAGCTGGACAAGCCGAGGCCCGGGGGGGTTCACGGCAGGGCTGCGGAATCCCTCCACTGAGTTAGTCCCTGCACGCTCTCCTGTGGGCTGCCCACTCGACCAGGGCACAGGTTCTGGGGGACCTCGGTCTCTCATGGGGGAGATAGAGAGAGGATCTGGAACAGGCACGCCTCCCCTGCCCCCGGCTGTGCCCACAGCAGGCATCACTAATCGATGCTGACACTCTGCTGCCGTACCTCAGTGGGCTTTCACAACCTTCCTCTGCCATCCGGAGGTGGCCCAAGAGATGACACCTGCCTGCTATTCCTGTCCCAGGGGCTGGAGAGTTCTGGCGTTTCCAAGCTGTGTCTCCTGCCCAACTTCTCAGCCAGTTCTCTCTCTTGGGATTGGTCCCCAAGCCCTTCCCTCTCAAGGGAGAGGTTCAGAGCTTGAGGCAGATTTCAGCAGAGTGGGAGGTGGGCGGGAGAACACCATGATGACAGACCCGAGGCCCTGGCCTTTGGCCCTGTCTACAGGGTGTCCCCCAGGCCTGAGAATCTGGGGGCATCTGCTGTTGATCCTCCTGTGGGCAGAGTGCCTAGTGAAGGCTCAGATCACAGCCTGTAGCCTGACTGCCTGGGCTCGAAGCTCCCTCCCTTGCCAGCTGTGGCCCTTTGGCCAGGTGATCTCCCCTCTCCTGGCCTCAGTTTTCCCATCTGTAAAACGGGGACGGTGACAGTTCTGTTTGGGCGTAGCGAGGATAAATGAGTCGGCGCACACAAAGCACTTGAGAAGTGCCGGCCCGCAGGAGGCTACGGAGCAGGGGGGGCGCGTTACCCTCCTGTCTTGTAACCTGAGCTGCGCAGGCCGGCGAGCATTCAAATCCTGACTTGGCCAGGTATTTGCTGCTGACCTTAGACAACACCACTGATGTGTCTGTACCTCTGTTTCCCCTCCGTATGACAGAGCTAGCAGCTCTCACGAGCTCACTAGGGAGGCTCCTTGGGTCCACGCTGGGTGGGAGGCGCTTAGCACAGTGCCCGGTACGTGTTCCACAAACAGGCTGCTGTGCGGGGGTTTCTCCTGAGTGTCTGGACCTCCGGCCGCCCCTCCGGCCGGGGCGTACGTATCATGGCGAGCCTTCATTGCTGTGCAGAGGCCAGCCAGCTGTTTCTAGAAAGAGCCGGACAGTAAATATTGTAGGCTTTATGGGTCAGACGGTCTCGGCCGCAGTGGCTCAGCTCGGCCGCAGACAAGTACACAGGCGGTGCGATCGTGCCCTGGAGCAAGTGTCTGCGGGAGCAGGCCCTGTTCTACCGGCCGTCAGCCCCTGCTGTGGAGGTTTGTCCAGGGCGCCTCGCTTGCCTGGCATGCTGGGACTTAGAAGCTCCCTAGGATCTCAGGGGCTCAGGGCATGCCGGCCTGCAGACTTGGGGGGCTCCCAACACAGACCCCCATTCCTGCTGGCCAGGACCCCATCCTTGCCCAAGGTCAGTGCTGTGGGCACAGGAGGGCCTTGTGTGAGCAGGGGTGGCCGGGGCCACTGGGTCCCTGAGGGCTGGCCGAGTTCGGCTGACTGCCCTCCCTCGTCCCCTCAGCAGAGAAGCCTGTGTTCTTCCCAGCCTTTGCACCCGACGGCCAGAAGCTGCCCACAGAGCCCCCGTGCTGGACATCAGGCCTGCCCTTCCCTGTGCCGCCTCGTGAGGTGATCAAGGCCTCCCCGCATGCCCCTGACCCCTCGGCCTTCTCCTACGCCCCACCTGGTGAGTAGCTTGGCCCACGCTCGGGCTCCTCAGGTGCCAAGCTGAGTCAGCCGGCACCATCATTGGGTGCCAGCTATTTGCAGTGGTTTGGAACCGCATGCAGAAGGATCTTAGAGTCTGATGAGATCCAACAAGAGGGATAGTCTGGTCAGTGAAAGGAAAAGAAGAGATCTACTGAGATTTGAGAAATTTGCAGGATTAAGATTGAAGCCACTGGCAATAGGGAGCCATAGGAGGTGCTTGAGCTGGTGAGGGGCAGCCCTACAGTGGGGGCTCTGCCTTCTATCAGTGACTTAGAGCTAGAGAATGGACAGGTGGAAAGAAAAGCCTGGGGAGACCACAAGCACCAGGTCAGGTGAGCCAAGTCAGAGGTTAAGACTTCATTCTGGAAGCAGTGGGGAGCCATAGAAGGTTCATAGCAGAGGGGAGGATGTGAACCAGTAGACTTATTAGAAAGATCCTTCAGTTCCTGTGAGGGGAATGGGCTACTGCTGGGGCGGGGCGGAGGGGTTGGGTAAAGTGGGAACGGGGAGACCAGTTAAAAGGTCTGGGCCAGAGAGGAGGGGCTTGGGCCAGGGACTGGGCTGTGACAGGGTGGGACGGAGGGAGGCTTCCCTGAGTTGTGGCGTGTGACCTGAAGACACAGGAGCTCATCAGGACAGAGATGGGAGGGGCAGGAGAGGGGCGTGTGGGGACAGGGACCTGCCTGGGGGGGTCTGTCTGGCAGGGGCATGACCACTGCTGGGGCCCTGTGATGGACAGATATGTGCCCTGCAGGTCACCCACTGCCTCTGGGCCTCCACGACAGTGTCCGGCCTGTGCTACCACGCCCACCCACCATCTCCAACCCGCCGCCCCTCATCTCCTCCACTAAGCACCCCAGCGTCCTCGAGAGGCAAATGAGTGCTATCTCCCAGGTGAGACGGGAGGGCCAGGGCCTCCCCAGGAGCGTCTGTGTGGCCTGGTGCCCGGAGAACAGCCCCTTTCTCTTTTGGGGGTTCAGTCTTTCCATCTATAAAATGGGGGCATCAGAAGCGGTGATAGCTGGGTGGGAACTGGGCACCCAAGGGGCCAGGGTCATCTCTATGCACAGCACTGTTGGGGTCTGAGCTGGCTGGAGCTTGTCCCAGGCACTCAGGACCTTGGGACTCTGGAGTAGTCAAGAGCATGGGCCCTGCAACCAGACTGTGTGGCCTTGGGCAAATTACCTAAGCTTTCTGTGCCTCAGTTTCCCCTCTGTGAAATGGAAGATTGAATGGCCTAGACACACAGCACGTGGTGAGCCTGTCTGGGACTACCTGTCCCTTGGCCTCCCTGACCTACCCACCTGTGTTGTGTGATGAGGGACGGGGCGAGGTGTCTGCTCTGTCCCAGCCCACATGCGTGCATCGTTCCCTTTAAACCATACCAGATCATGATGGCCACTTCATAGGTGAAGGGACCGAGGCTCAGGAGAGCCAGGGACTTGTCCATGGTCACTCGGCTGAGCAGCAGGGCTGGGACTTGAGTCCCAGTGCCCTGACCTGCATGTGATCCTGAGGTTCCTCTCCTCTTGGGCTTTCGTGGAAGGGGATATCAGGGTACTCTGGCTGGGCTTGGGCATGGGGTGGAGGGACTGTGGGGGCCCCTGTGACCCCATGACCTCTGCCCCTCGCAGGGCATGTCGGTGCAGCTCCACGTCCCATACTCCGAGCACGCCAAGGCCCCTGTGGGCCCTATCACCATGGGGCTGCCCCTCGCCATGGACCCCAAGAAGCTGGGTAAGGATCTACGCCCCCCCTACCTGGACGGTCCAGGTTTGGCTCCAGCTGTCCATGTTGGGGGGAGGAGGGAAGGCAGCTTGGCTGCTGGGACCATGGCCTGAGCTTGCGGGGAGGGTGGCACTCCCAAATCCCCGGCAGTGCCAGACCTCCACCCCTGGGTAGGATTAGGTGGGGGCCCTCCCTCCGAGTCCCTGTCCCAGTGGCACGTGGCTCACTGCCCTCGCCCATCCCCAGCACCCTTCAGCGGAGTGAAGCAGGAGCAGCTGTCCCCACGGGGCCAGGCTGGGCCACCGGAGAGCCTGGGAGTGCCCACAGCCCAGGAGACATCCGTGCTGAGAGGTGAGGGCATGAGGGGTGGACGTGAGGCCTAGAGTCTGCCCTGCACCCCCAGCGGCTGCCCCTCTGCTCTTTGGAGGAGGGTCTAGGTGGGAGCGGGATCTTTTATCCAAAATCTGCTGAGCATCGTCCGCTCCCAGAAGGTCCAGAAGCCCGTCTTCATGATGGTTCACCCATTTAGGGGCAGGGGGTCCTCTGCGTTGAGACACCAAGGGGGCCTTGCAGGTCAGGAGCACCGTCCCCTGGGAAGGGGTTGCAGACACCCTTTATGCCCCGTGTCTCGTGTCTTTTAGGGACATCCCTGGGCTCGGTTCCAGGAGGAAGCATCACCAAGGGCATCCCCAGCACGCGGGTGCCTTCCGAGAGCCCCATCACCTACCGCGGCTCCATCACCCACGTAGGTGTCCTGGGGCCCCGCCTCAGGGAGGAGGGGGGGACCGGCAGGCCGGGGCTCCAGATGCGGCCCTGACCGCCGCAGAGCGGTGGGCCAGCCCATCTGTTCCCTCTGGCGTCACTGTGCGGCCCCGGTCTTGGTGGCTAGGGCGATGTCCTGGCGATAGGAGCTCATGCTCTGGTCATTTGCCCGCTTGGAGCCAGGCCCATTAGGTGCCGAGCGTCACACACAAGGTGCCCCTTGCGAGGTGCTGACGGTCAAGCAGCAGGTGGCCCGAGATACACAGACCGGTCAGAACTGGGCCGATGGCTTCACAGGATCCGGTGCTTCCGATGGAGTAAGCCTCTGCGATTAAGAACGCCCGGGGCCACCCAGGCCAGTGGGGGAGACTTCTTGGGGGTGAGCCCCACGGGAGTCTCGGGGAACAGCATTCCCGGTTCAGGGGACAGCACGTGGGAGCATCTCTGACACGGGCAAGGACCAGCGAGGGGCCATGGTGCCTGGAGCAGGAGGGGGACTCCCTGCCGGGTGTCAGCGGGCAGGTGCTCTGCACCCTGGCGGAGCCGGCCCCCACCCCTGTGGCCCCTCGTGTGCCGTCCTCATCCTCCCTGGTTTTGACTTCAGTCCCAGAAAACAAAGGATTCGTCTTGTGCTAGCCTTGACCTTGTGGTGTTGGGCCGCAGTCTGGCATCGCAGCCACGTTCACCTCTGCAGCAGGGAGGGCGGGATGACGTCCGCCCCCTCCCAGGCCTTGCAGGGCGAGCCGATCACGAGGCCCTCCGGTGTCAGGGAGCGGGGATCAGTTCTCTACCTGACCGAGGTGGGGGGCTCCCCGCACATCTGGGGCCCGTTAAACTCTCTCCTCGCTGGCCAGCGAGCAGGAAGTGTGGCTCCATCACCTCCTGGAGTCCTTAACACCCTGGCTTTCTTATCTTCCCTTCCACCCAGCTCCAGACAAGACACTTTACACTGGCCCAGAGTCCATGCTATTATGGCTCGTTTTGTAGATAAGAAGACCGAAGCTCAGAGGTTAAACCTGAGGTCACGTAGCTAGTAAGTAGTGGACCCAGAGTTTTGTGCCCAGCTGCATCTGGCTCTAGAACGTCGTGCCAGAGAACGAGGAGCCAGAACACGCAGGTGTGCGTGCCCAGACACGCTTGCATACACGGACACACGCACGGACACACACACGCGGACACAGTGCAGACACAGGGCATGTGGAAAAACAGACACGCAGGCGCACAGACCGGGAGACACACGGACATCCACAGTCATGCACACCCTGCCCCGCCCACACGCACGTTAACGGTGGAGCATCAGGCCATAGGCTGGCCCGCGATGAGGTGTCTTTGACCGCGGTGGCCTCAGATCACACCACAGAGGAGAAAGCTGTAGATTTTGAAATAACAGACTTTTGGAGGCGGCTTCGCTGAGTGCAAAGAACAGGTACCTGGGGCAAAAGTCAGGCCAAGGTATTCAGGTCCCCACGGTGGCACACACTCACTCAAGCAGGGGACGGTCTCTCTAGTAAGAGCAGCTGCTCACAGGGTCTTTCTGTGGAGGCATTGGTGATCGAAGGCTGACATCTGCAGTTCCTAGGCACCTTCTGCCCCAGGTTTCCAGGCACCTGGACCCACACTGTCTCGGTCACTCACACCCCTTCAGTTGTCTCTGGCAGAGGGTGGTAGCTGCCAAAATGCATGGTAGTCTGACTTTCCCACCGTCCTGCAATCGGGTGGTGATGAAATCATGCCCAGGCCACACGCACGCGTGCGCTCAGATGCACACATCCTCGAGCCCGGCGGGCACTCGAGGAAGCCCCAACACTCTGCTCCCCAGTGCTCCCACCCGCCCTGGGAGTGACGTTCGTCGGGGCCACACCCTGAGGCTGCTCAGCCTTGAAATAGGCCTCAGGCCAACAGTCTCCAGGCACGCACGAGTCTGTCCGGTGTATTGTCCCCAAGGGCACACACCACGCGTGTGTTGCTGTGAGAAGTCGGGGGGAGCCTGTCTGCATTCAGTGTCTTGCTGTCTCTCTCCTCGCCAATCAGGATCTGCAGTAGAGGTCCAGGGGGTTGCTAGCTGTTGCTCTTACCCCACAGGGGGATGTTTCTCAGCAGAGGAGTTCCCAGGGGAGACTCGGGGTCCACTGGTCCAGGGCTGGGCACACAGAGGGACGCCCACATATGTGAAACGGCTCACAGAATCATAAACATCTTGAGCTGGGGACAGCTTGTCTATGCCAAATGCCTTTGAGAATCGTAGATGCAGGGATTATTTCCATTCTGTAGATGTAGAGATGTATAGGCTCAGAGAGGGAATGTGATTTGACAGAGGTCATACAGCAACTTGCTGGTAAAGCTGCTATTTGCCATCCATCAGTCTGACTCCAGACACAGATTCTGGGCCCCACACTCATGTTCTTGGAAGTTGCCCAAGGCAGGATGCTACTCCACGTGACCGTCTTCTTTCTGCTTGAATACCTCCCTCACTAGGGAGCTCACTCTCTTAGGCAGTGGTTTTCCATTGTGGGCAATTTTGCCTCCTAGGGGACATTGGGCAATGCCTAGGGACATCTTTGTTACACCTTGGAGGGGGGAGGTTGGGGGGACACAGGGTAGCTCTAGCATCCAGTGGGTGCAGGCCAGGGATGCCCAGGACAGCACCCACAACAAAGAAGCAACTGGCCCCCCCATGGCAGAGTGTCGAGGTTGAGAACCCCTGGTTTTGGGAAATAGGGGTGCGTGGCCCACGTTCATCAGCACAGCATGGGGGCCACATCTCAGCACCCCCCCTGTCAGTTATCGTCAGTAGTTAAATGTCAGGGCTCTGAGAAGGTAAAACCCACACGGGACAGGTTGGAACACAGACTCCAGGGCCAGACTGCCTGGGTTCCAGTCCCAGCTGTGCCCCTGGATGAAGTCACCTAGCGCTCAGCGCCTCAGTCTCCCCCTTGAAACAGGCATGGTGATAGGACCTGTCTTAGGATTAAATGAGCGAATATGTATAAGGGGCTCCAAGTGGTTTCTTTTACACCGTGGGTGTCAGTAAGCTGTGACCTGGTGTTCTGTGTGGTTGCGTCTCCCCCTTTGAAGCAGCATGTGGATGAACACACGTGTGCACTGGTGGGCCTGGCACATGTGAGCATGTGTGTGTGTGTGTGGAGCTGGAGGGACCCGTGTAGGTCTGCTGATCATGCCCGCGTCATGCCTGGTGAGCGCAAGGGGGTCCCCAGGTGGAGCCTGCCAGGCGCTCAACCCCTCTGCACCTCCAGGGCACTCCGGCCGACGTCCTCTACAAAGGCACCATCACCAGGATCATCGGTGAGGACAGCCCCAGTCGCCTGGACCGCAGCCGGGAGGACAGCCTGCCCAAGGGCCACGTCATCTACGAGGGCAAGAAGGGCCACGTCCTGTCCTACGAGGGTGAGTGCTATTGTGAACAGCCTCGTGGGGCTTGGGGGGGCAGCCTTTTTCCTCCCCATCCGCAGAGTCTTTGGTGCCTAGGAAAGCATCTTTATGTGGAGGGTTGACGGGGGCACACCCCGGGGTATTTAGGGCGAGCACAGCGGATGAAGCCCTCCTCAGAGAGCTCTCAGGACACCCACACGAGATGCAAATAGGAAGTCCCCTGTGAACTCTTGAGTCGTGGAAACCCACTCCTCCAGCATGGCTTGTCCACCAAACCCCAGGCTTTGGTGTTTCTGGAGTTGGTCAAGAGAGGAGGGTCCAGAAAAATACGGTCAGGGTAAAAGGCAGCCAGATGTCTGTGGAAAACAGATCTGGGGAGTTTGTGCCCCTCCCATCGGCCTGAGTGGTAAAGAACCGGGCGAAGCATTTTATCCCCATTTTACGGCTGTACGGGGACAGCCAGTGGTCCTGTGTGGCCACCCTCGTGGCCCCTTGAGAGACAAGGAGGCTTGGGATCAGGGAGGAGGATGTTTGGCCCATGGAGGTGGCTGCACAGGGAGTGAGGGCTGGGTGACAGCATGAAGCACAACCAGAGAGGTGGTGATCTGCCTATCCCTGCAAGTATGTAAGCCAGCAGCAGGGAAGGGTTGGCCTGCCTTGCTGGAAGCATAGTGGGGGACCTGAGGCCCAGCACTTCCGGCCAACACTGTGCTCTAATTGGTAGCCCATGGGTGGCCACCAGGGTGTGACGACCAGAGTGACCCTCCCCCTCTCCTTGCCTCTTGCCCTGTCTCCCCTCCTGGGTTCAGGTTCCACAACCAAGGAGCCCTGCACGGGCGGGGCCAGGGGGCGGCGGTTAAGGAAGGACAGAGCCAGGATGTGAGTTTCCCAGCATCCTTGGGCGCCTAGGGCTCTGGAACGGAACGCAGCTCATGGGCACCCCTCTCGGGGGCTGGCCCTGCAGGGCCCTACATTGCTTCTCCTCTGATGAGCGGACACCTTTTCTCCTCTTTGTCTGCCTCTGCCCATGCCCCCTGCCCCCTCGCTCCTGGGAAGTGGAGGTGGTACCATGTAGCTGAGAGTCAGGCTAGCGGCTGTGTCTTGGGCGCCAGCCTTGGTACGTGGCTGAGGGGCCTGCAGTCAAGGCGTACGGGCGGGATGAGCACAGCCTCAGCTCAGGTCCCCACGCCCGTCCTCGAGCTCTCATCTGTAGAGGGTGTTTGCACCAGGGCTTCTCATCCCTCCCATGCTTCCTGGAGCCGGGTGGTTAGGGGGGCGGTGGGGGGGGTGCCCTGGCAGCCTGGACAGTGGCTCTTGTCGCTCTGTATGGGTGTGAGCCCCCCGGCTACACTTCTCATCTCTCCATATATACATATATATATATTTATGTTTTTTTCCATTTTGATCTGAAATCTCCGTGTTTAAACATCAGCAATTTTGAAAAAAATTTAGAGCCACAACCCAGCATGTCTGTAGGCCGCCGCTTTGTAGCCTGTGGAGCGGACCTGGAGAAGTAACAAGAGGGGGAGAACCTGTTGTCTTCGAGGGGCAGGACTGGGGCCCTGGGGAGCTTACTTCTGCTGCTCTGGGGGAGGAGAGGCCCCTGGAGGAGCCCCAGCCTGCTGGGTGAGGCCAGGCCTTGCTCTCCTCAAGAACTGCCTCCCGGCGTTCAGACCCTCAGCCTGTCTGGGGGGCCAGGGTGCACAGCCTGAGGTACCTCCTGGCTCAGCCAGGCCATGTCTGCCGTGGACAGCCCCCTTTCTGTCCTCACGTGGACTTGCCACAGCGCACATATGTGTGTGTGCGTGTATGCACGTGGACACAGACAGGCACGCGGGTCCATTTGTGCCCCTGGCCTCACTTCGTTCTCGGTGGCCAGGCCTGTGTGTGTACGCGCGCACTCACACCCAAATGGTTGTGCACAGCCTGTCTGTTCCCACTCTGCTGCTCACACACACGTGTGCACTGGTGTTCGTGTCACAAGTCAGCGGCCGTGTGTGGTCAGAGGCACACAGCTGACCAGGGGTTGGGGTTCAGGGTGCAGGAAGCCTTGGTATCTGTTAAATCCCTAGACTGGAGAGAGAGGCCCCGCTGGCCTGCAGGCTGTGGGTTCCCTCGGGAGGGCTCAGCTGGGCTTGCTGGAACGGGGCCCTAAGCACCAGACCGCCACCCCTCACCACGAGCATGGTCTGGTCTCCAGGTGGCATGTCGGTGTCCCAGTGCTCCAAGGAGGACGGCAGGAGCAGCTCTGGACCTCCGCACGAGACGGCTGCCCCCAAGCGCACCTATGACATGATGGAGGGCCGCGTGAGCAGGGCCATCTCCTCGGCCAGCATTGAAGGTGGGCGCCCTGCCTGGCTCCCTACCCCAGCGGACGCACAATGCCAGGGCCTAGGACCTGCTCTGGGGGGCCTCCCAGCTAAGTGGGTTAGAGCAGCAGAGAGAGAGAGAATCTGTCAGTGCCCCCTAGAGGGAGGTGCTGGGATGGTTCGCCTGATTTTCCAGAGAGGTAAACTGAGGCTAGGTCTTGCTGAGGCCCAATCTGGAGGCAGTGCAGGGCCCGGGAGTCGGGACATCGCTTGCTGGGTCCAGGGCCGCCACCACCGCCACCATCGTGGGGACGGCTGTCAGCGGCCGAAGGGACCCATGCTGGGAGGGCTGGCCCTGGCCCCGGCCCCAGCGCCTGTCACTGCCCGAGGCTGGCTGAGGGACCCACGTAACCACGACGCTCTGGCCCCTCCCCCAGGTCTCATGGGCCGCGCCATCCCGCCGGAGCGACACAGCCCCCACCATCTGAAAGAGCAGCACCATATCCGAGGCTCCATCACACAAGGTGCCACCCGCCCCCCGCTGCCCTCACGGCAGCCGCAGCCAGCACGCAGATGCCGCCGTCGCCGCGATGGGCGGGTGGGGTGCGTGCGGGCCGCGGGACAGGCGTGTGCCGCGAGCACCTGGCCGTTACAGGTGTGGGTTGAAATGCAGAACGAGGGCCTGTCTTACTGAAGGACAGCAGGAAGCCGGATGCTGCCCCTCCGCCCTGTCCTTCGCAGGCCTTGTGACTGAGCATCTGTTCCGGGCTTGCTGCTAACCCGGGTGCTCCTCCCGTATTAGGGCGTGGGACTGGTGTCTTCACTTACTAACAGTTCTAGCGGAGCTGTTACCATGCCACCCAGATTCTCCCGGCTGCTCGGTGGTGAGCCAGCTCCTGTGGGCCCCTGTTACGCTTTCTGTCCACAGCATCTCATCGAGTGTGCACGCCTTGGTGAGGTGTTGCAGTTAATACTCCTCTTTTATATATGAAGGGACTGAGGCTCAGAGAGGTCCAGTCACGTGCTCGAGGTCCCACAGCCAGTGAGGACTTGATCCTAGGCAGTCTGGCTCCGGAGTCCCTGGTGTGTGGAGACCCCAGGTTAGAACGGGCACGGTGGGGGTGGAGTCGAGCTCAGCACCCTGTCGTCCTTGGCAGGGATTCCGCGGTCCTACGTGGAGGCCCAGGAAGACTACCTCCGCCGGGAGGCCAAGCTCCTGAAACGCGAGGGCACGCCCCCGCCGCCCCCGCCGCCCCCGCGGGACCTGGCCGAGGCCTACAAGGCCCGACCCCTGGAGGCCCTGGGGCCCCTGAAGCTGAAGCCGGCCCATGAGGGGCTGGTGGCCACGGTGAAGGAGGCCGGCCGCTCCATCCACGAGATTCCGCGAGAGGAGTTGCGACGCACACCTGAGCTGCCCCTGGCCCCGCGGCCGCTCAAGGAGGGCTCCATCACGCAGGTAAGGGCGCCAGAGCCAGGCAGGCTGGGCCAGGATGCTGTGGGGGCGGCCGTTAGCCGCTGCTCTGGCCTCTACCAGTGGGGAAACTGAGGCTCCGACTCCGTGGGTACCTTGCCCGGGATGACACAGCTGCTCATTACTGAGCTCCTTTGATTGTATTTCTGCTCCTGTGAGGTTCACACCCATTATCCCCATTGTTCAGATGGAGAAACTGAGGTGCAGAGAGTTCAAGCAGCCCGCCAAAGTCCCAGAGCTAACCATAGAAATAAACGGCTGCTGCTGATTGGATTTCTGTTGTGGGCCAGGTGCTGCCTGAGCACTTGGCATCATGCCCTGTTTAGCCCCCACAACCACGCTCTGAGGTAGTTCTCTTACTGTTCTCGTTATATTGGTGCATAAATGGAGGTTCAGGGACGTTAAAGTGACTTGCCCAGGATCACACAGCAAGTGAATGGCAGTTATGAACCTCAAGTCCAGACGTGCCTAAATCTGCAACATCTTTGCTTCTTGGCGTCCCCTTCCCCCCACCAGCAGGCTGTACTCCCCCGGTCCCGGCCCCTGCCCCCCAGGAAGCCCCAGCCTGGTAGGGCATGACCAGCTCCAACTGTGTTAGGAGCTGGCCAGTGGAAACCGCGCAAGGGCCACTGTCCCTTCCCGTGGTCAGAAGTGGCCTGATGGAATGAGGAGGGAGAGTGGGAACCGTCCCAGGGGCTGCTTGGCTACGAGGCGGACAGTACTGGGGAGGGCATCCAGGGAGGGCATCACAGCTGGGGTCAAGGTTCATAGTGCCGGGAGAAGCCGTGGGGAAATTATCCAACGCCAGGTTTGGCTCTCAGCCTCTGGGCGGGAGTTCCCCATGGATCCAAGAGGGAGGCCAGCCTGACTCTACAGCATTCTTAAAAGCAGGGTGTTTCCCTGCTTTAATTAAAACATTCATGCATGAACTCCGAGCTCCATCACTAGAGACACAGGGCCCCACTCTACCCCGGGTTCCCAAGCCCGTGTCAACAGGGCGGGGGCTTCTCCCAGGTGGCCGGGTTGTGCTCTGGCCCATGACCCCCTGTTTCTTCAGCTGCCCCTTCTGGCCAGAGAGCAAACAAACCTCAGCCCTGACCTCTGAGCCTTGGGCCCCAGGCGGTGGAAGTGGGTTTTGCTGCTGAATTTTCTGGAGTGGTATTGAGTGGGCCGTGGAGTCGCAGACTGATGGGGGGAGGTTTTCCCCATGTGGGGATGCTGAGGCTTCAGGGGCCAACAGAGGGTCCCCCACTTGCTCCAGGGAGGGCTGACCTGTGAACTTTGTGCCCCCTCTGCAGCCGCCCCCCCCGCAGGTGGCTCTGGGGGCCAGGACAGGGGCGGGCGGGGCAGTGACATGTGTGCTGATCCTAGGTTTAGCAAAGCCCTTTGTCCCCCTGCCCCTGGAGGTGTTGAAACATCGCTCCCGTTTTATGGCTGCGAAACGGAGCCTCCGCGGTTATGTAGCCGGTGCTTCCCCCTTCTCCCCAGGGCACCCCGCTCAAGTATGACACTGGCACGTCCTCTGCCGGCTCCAAAAAGCATGACGTGCGCTCCATCATCGGCAGCCCCGGCCGCACGTTCCCGCCCGTGCACCCGCTGGACGTGATGGCCGACGCCCGGGCGCTGGAGCGCGCCTGCTACGAGGAGAGCCTGAAGAGCCGGCCGGGGGCAGCCGGCAGCTCTGGGGGCTCCATCACCCGGGGGGCCCCGGTCATCGTGCCCGAGCTGGGCAAGCCGCGCCAGAGCCCCCTGACCTACGAGGAGCACGGGGCGCCCTTCGCCGGCCACCTCCCACGCGGCTCGCCGGTGACCACGCGGGAACCCACCCCGCGCCTGCAGGAGGGTGCGTGGGGTGCGGGGTGGGGGATGGGCACTGGGTGGACTCCCCGGCTCAGGAAACGGCCTCCCCACCCACCCTCAGCTTAGGCTGGAAACTGGCAGCACCCTTGGGGCCACCACATACCTTCCACCTGCCTGACCCTTGGCTTCTGCCCCCAAGTTATACTCAGAATTATCTTTGCCTCCCTGCCACCTCCAGACCACCACGATTTCCCACCTGGCCTCCCCGACTCCCCTCCTGTCCTGCTGTAATCTGCACCCCAAACGCAGCCAGAATTGTCCTTTGAAAAGCTCACATCAAATCATGCCACTCTCCTGCTTAAATCTTTCTGGTGACTTCTCGCCATGGCCAGGGGGTCTGTAGGACCCGGCCCTGCCCACGCCGCATCTCACTGTCCCCATGTTCCTTTATCCACCCCAGGCTCAGTGAGCCGGCTTCCTCCTCTCTGTTCCTTGACTTTGCTCAGGGCCTTTGCACCTGCTGTTCCCTCTGCCTGAAACCTCCCCCACTTTCAGATCATTATCTAAATGATTTCTTTTTGTCCTTCAGGTCTCTGTGCAAAGTCACATTCTTGGGGAGGCTTTTAGGACCCTCCCCCACTATTCTGGTCACATTTTAAATTTTCTCTGGAGCATTTATCACTCAGAAATTCTCGTTTGAAGACTAGCTTATCACCTTTCTCCAGCATTAAGCGTCTGCTCCATGTGGGCCGGGTTTCCTGCCTGTTTTGTTCACTGGGGTGGCTCCAGCTCTTAGAGCAGTGCTTGGCGTGGGGTGGAGGCTCCATAAATATTTTTTGATTGCTTGAATGAATGAATGAACAAGGGAACAAATGAGAGCATGAGTGAGTGAATTTTTTAAAAGAATGAAAACACAGAAGCAAATGAGTCAATGAAAGAACACAGGAGTTGAGACAACGGAACAGGTGAAGGAAGAGTCCTGGTCCCCAGATCCCAGAGAGCCCATCCTCAGATGGCTTCCCATAAACCCTGGCCTCGGTGGCCCCTGTGTGAGGGGCTGTGACAGTCCTGGCAAAGTGGTCCGATGCCAACCCCCCCTGGCCTGTCCTCACAGGCAGCCTCTCGTCTAGCAAGTCATCCCAGGATCGAAAGCTGACGTCGACGCCCCGTGAGATTGCCAAGTCCCCTCACAGCGCCATGCCTGAGCACCACCCCCACCCCATCTCGCCCTACGAGCACCTGCTTCGGGGCGTGAGTGGTGTGGACCTGTACCGTGGCCACATCCCACTGGCCTTCGATCCCGCCTCCATACCCCGCGGAATCCCTCTTGATGCAGGTGATTGTCCTGGACCCATAGAACCCCACAGCAGGGGGTCAGGGGCTTCGTCAGTGTCAGCTCAAGGACGCCTCAGGCATCAACTAAGCTCTGCCAGATGGGGAAACAGGTGTCGGGGTAGAGAGGCCCAGTGGTCGTGTGAACAGTTTAGGTTAGAACAGAGGTTCTCTTAGGAGTCTGAGGGACATACGGAGTTAAATATTTTTCAGGGGTTTTCTTTTCCTGCAGAACTTACCAGTGCTTTTAAAATTGCAAACGTATCAAAAGAGGGCTGAAGTGTTGAGTGTTCCTCAGATGGACATGGTCTGAAAATCTGTTTAGAAGGATGCATCCCATAGGCATCTTAGTGATCTACATTTTGGATGCCCTTTGCTTGGGGGAGCTTCGATCTGAATAACATTATCAGTAGAAGGTGCCCCCGTGTGTTTTGGGGAGCAAGGGTTTTTCTCTGTCCAGGCCCTCAATTCTGTGTTGTGGGGAGCATTTTGGGAAGAAGCTGTCAGGTGTAGGAGCGGGGGGCAGCCTGACCTTCCGCGTCTCCTCCCTGCAGCCGCTGCCTATTACTTGCCCCGACACCTGGCCCCCAACCCCACCTACCCCCACCTGTACCCACCGTACCTCATCCGCGGCTACCCTGACACAGCAGCGCTGGAGAACCGACAGACAATCATCAACGATTACATCACCTCGCAGCAGATGCACCACAACGCGGCCACCGCCATGGCCCAGCGAGCTGACATGCTGAGGGGCCTGTCGCCCCGCGAGTCCTCACTGGCACTCAACTACGCCACCGGCCCTCGAGGTGGGTGGGGCTGGGCGCTTGCTGGCAGGTGCGTGGGCAGACCCTTCCCTTCCAGAATCGGCCCTCGTCCTCGTCTGCCCGGGCCCGCTCGATGGTGCCCAGGACACGGGCGTGCTGGCTGAGGTGGTGGAGTGTGGCGCGCTTAGAGGTCTGGGTAGTGTGAGCGCCCTGAGCGCACACAGACCTGGCAGGTGGTGGAGAGTGGTGTGTGGTAGACGCGTGCATCCTGGATGCACACACGGGAGGTGTGCACTGGTCTCTGCATACTCTTGCTGTATGGGGGTCCTTGGCATTTAAAAAAAAAAAAAGAAGAGGATCGAAATAGGAGGCTGTTTGTATTTCTGGTTCCATTGACTTGCAAACAGCCTGTAGTTGCTTTGTAAGTGCGTTAAATTCGTCCTCTGGAAATACTTTTGGAATGTTCTTCTGGCACGACCAAGTCCCAGTTAGGGTCCATTTGGAAGAACCAGTCACGCTAGGTATTTCAGACGGTGAGGACTGAGTACAGGGAACTGATTGTATGGGGTGAGGGGCTGGAAGAGCAGGAAGAGCATGCCAAGGTAATGCAGGGACGCCAGCAGCAGGACACAGCCGCTCCTGGGCTCGGGAGCCAAGGGGAGGTGGGACCGGGAGAGCCTGGCATTCAGAAGAGGGCCCGAGAGGGCTGGTGCTCAGCAGCAGGAGGGAGCACCCCGGCTCATGAGGGCACCCTGCGCTCCAGCTGATGGGGCGGTCCAGCCAGCAGGTGGCCCGGCCCCCCCGCCCCTCCTGCAACCCCCGCCCCCACCTTCTCCGGCAGGCATCATCGACCTGTCCCAAGTGCCACACCTCCCCGTGCTGGTGCCCCCAACACCAGGCACGCCCGCCACCGCCATGGACCGCCTCGCCTACCTCCCCACAGCACCCCAGCACTTCAGCAGCCGGCTCAGCAGCTCCCCGCTCTCCCCAGGTAACACGCCCGCCCCCGTCCAAGGAAGGCGGCCGGGTGTCCTCTGTCCACCCCAGAGGACAAACCCAGGCCCGCCCTGAGCGCTGGACTGAACCGCAGGACTTTTGGTTGCCAGGGGGCCCCACTCACTTGACAAAACCCTCCGCCACCTCCGCGTCCGAGAGGGAGCGGGAGCGGGACCGAGACCGGGAGCGCGAGAAGTCCATCCTCACGTCCACCGCCACGGTGGAGCACGCGCCCATCTGGAGACCCGGTAGGGCGTCAGAGGTCCCTGCCCCAGCCTCTGGGGGTCCTCGTGGGCCACGTGAGGCCTGCCCCCCTGACGCCGCAGCCTGTCCCCACCAGGTACAGAGCAGAGCAGTGGCGGCGGCGGAGGTGGGGGCGGGGGCGGCAGCAGCAGCCGCCCCGCCTCCCACTCCCACTCCCACCAGCACTCGCCCATCTCACCCCGGAGCCAGGACGCCATCCAGCAGAGACCTAGCGTGCTGCACAATACGGGCATGAAGGGCATCATCACCTCCGTGGAGCCCAGCACACCCACGGTCCTGAGGTGGGCCAGGTTGGCACAAGGGAGGGGACAGGGGAGAGGGAGAATGGATGGGTGGGTGGCTGGGTGAACGGGCAGTTACTTGGGAGGTAGGTGGATGGGAGATTGGGTTACAGGGATGGGTAGGTGGAGAGACAAATGGACTATTGAGTGGGTAAGTGCGTAGATGACAGGTGGTAGGCGGGTGGGTGGTGTGTGGACAGTGGCTGGGCTGGATGAACAGGTAGGTGGGTGGGTAGACGTGACAGTGGGTGGCCGGGTCAGGGTCTGGGTAGGTGAGGTGAGTGGATGGATGGATGGATGGAGGGCATGGATGCGCCTAATGAAGGACTGAAGGAGCCACGCGGACAGTGGGAATATCAACGGCAAAGGCGCCGAGAATGCGCCTAATGCGGGGAAGGGCGCTTCCCCGGTGCCCCTCCCTGCCCAGGGGGTGGGTGCGTAACTGGATGTAGGTTGAGTGAGAGGTGAGTAGGTAGTGGATGGATGGATGGATGGGTAGATGGGTGAGTGGTGCGGTGGGTGGGCAGGTGGATGGATGGGTAGAAGAATGGATAGATGGTGAGTTGGACGGATGGGTGGCAGTTTGATGGGGGGATGGATGAGTAGGTGGTAGGTTGTTGGATTCAAGGATAGAGTCTGTGGAGAGGAGAGGGTCAGACAAGAGAGGGCTATGGGGAGAGATTCCTCTTGGTCCTCCCCCGACTTCAGCAGGGCCCTTCAGGAAGGAGATGGTGTCCATCTTGCCTGGAGAAAACCTGGGGTTTCTCTTAAGATGGGGGAGGCTCTGTAGGTCCCATGTGTGCCCCCCCACAGTCCACTCACTCTCACAAGGGGCCCAAGTCCCCTCCAGTGACATCCCCCCCCACAAGGACTGGGGGCAGAGCTGCCTAATGCGGGGGAGGGAGCTTCCCCGGTGCCCCTCCCTGCCCAGGGTCCTGTTCGGAGGCAGGTGCTTCTTCCAAGGTGAAGTTTCCGTTCATACAAGTACCCTCCCCCTATTTGGCTGCCCTAAATCATACTCCCCACCCAGCCACCATTCCAATTAGGAAAAATGACAACCTCATTTCCCAAAAGCATTAGCTTTGTCCTCCCTGACTCAGATAGGCAGCAGTTACACGAAACAGAAGCACCTGGCTGCTTGGAGCATGGTTATTGCTCATGCACGAAGGCCGGCTGTTTCTCCACACCAGCAATAAGCCGATTAGAAACCGTCACGGGGCGGTCGGGCCTTTCCCACTGGCAGCTGGAGTGAGGGTTAGTGAAGGGCAGGGCGCTTCCTCATGGAGACACTGGGCTTGACAGAGAGGCCCCAAGGGCTGGAGTCGGCCAGTTCGCATCCAAGCGCCAGCGTCCTCATCTGCGAAGCAGGGATAATTACATTTACCCTTTGAAGATCACAGAGTATACGTTTGTGCGTTCCTTCTTCCTGGCTGACCTGTGTGGGGTGTGGGGGACACCATGATGCAAGCCCTGCCCTCCTGGGGCTTATCTTAGGGCCTAGACCAGACAGCAATCAGGGAAGGCTGCTTGGAGGAAGAGGCACGTGACCCTCAAGAGCGGCAGTGCTGGGGCGGAGTGCTGGAGAGCACTCCAAGCACATGGCCAGGCAGGCATCCCAGGGAGCCCTGTGTGGCCTCTGGTGGCCGGGGTGGGAGAGCCGGGGGCCCTGCTGCCTTCTCCTCTAATACCCCATCTCCCGTTCCCCGAGCATTCTCGGGGCCTTTGCCTTTGCTGTTCCCACTGTCCACGTGGCTCCTCCTTTCCCTCATGCCCTGAGCAGCCCGCGGCTCACCTGCGAGCCCTTGCTGGCTTCCGTTCTCTGTTCACCCCGACTCTTAGAGCCACACTCTGACGGGGTGCACCTTCTCTGTGGCCTTGCATACGGTCTGCTCAGCTAGAGCGTAAGGTGCTTTGTCTGTTTGCTGCTATGTTTCTCAACGTCTAGAGCAGTTTCTGGAACGGTGCCTGACACAAAGCAGGCGTTCAGTAGAAAGTCTGGGACCGACGGAGACGGTGAATAAATGAGCGGGTGAATGCGTGCCGTTGGTACGGCCGTGCATGGCAGGGCCCCTCAGCCGGGTCGGGAGGGCAGGTTTATTCCAGGGCAGTGGAGACCCTTCGGGGTGCTGAAGTGAGAGGGGAGTGACCCCGCCTTGGCCTCCTGGGCCTGTGCCCCCCGCGCCGCCCCGCGATGGTTTCCGCAGTCCCTTGACCGCCTTCTCTCCTCCCGCAGGTCCACCTCCACCTCCTCGCCTGTCCGCCCGGCCGCCACATTCCCACCCACCACCCACTGTCCACTGGGCGGCACCCTCGACGGGGTCTACCCCACCCTCATGGAGCCCGTCTTGCTGCCCAAGGAGGCCCCAAGGGTCGCCCGGCCTGAGCGGCCCCGTGCAGACGCTGGCCACGCCTTCCTTGCCAAGCCCCCGGCCCGCACGGGGCTGGAGCCCGCCTCCTCCCCCAGCAAGGGCTCCGAGCCGCGGCCCCTGGCGCCCCCCGGCTCCAGCCACACGGCCATCGCCCGCACCCCAGCAAAGAGCCTCGCACCCCACCACACCAGCCCGGACCAGCCTGCGCCCGCCTCGGCCGCGGACCTGCACCGGGAAAAGACTCAAAGTAAACCCTTTTCCATCCAGGAACTGGAGCTCCGTTCTCTGGGTAAGACCACCCTGACAGCGGCCACCTTCATAGACGCGATAATCATGCGTCAAATTGCTCACGATAAAGGGCCGCGAGAAGGAGGTTCGCTGGCCAACGACTCCCCTCCCGATGGTAAGACTTCCGGCCCTGCCGCCCACCCAACCCGTCTTGTGGCCTAAAGATATTTTCAGATCTCTGCTTTTTATTTTTCCCCCCATTTTTTGTTGGTTTTGGTATTTTGTTTTTAAACTCGTCCTCGTCGATTGCACGCTCTGATGGTTTATCCCTCAAGCTGCCGCCCACCCCCACCCCCCGATTTGGGGGCACCTCATCATTTGCACATTGTTTTATCATGATTTTTTTTTTTTTTTTTGGATTTTCGCTTTTTTTCCTTTAATGAATGGATCTGTGATTTTGACTTCAACTGCGCCTCCCATCTCCCAACCTTTGCGCCTGTGTTTGGGGAGCAGGGAGTGGGGTGACCCCTGCTGCCGTGTGGATGAGTCTGGTTTGGAGGACGCCCGCCGAGGCAGACTGTCCAGGAGAAGACAGGCAGGGGCAGGAAGCACCCGACTCTCCAGGAGGAGCCGACCCCTGCACCCTGCCTGGGTTGTGAGGGTGTCTTGGGGTGCCCTGACCCCACGCCCCCCTTGCTGACCCGCTCCCCAGCATCCGCTGGGAGAAGGAGAGTCCTCTGCCCCCTGCCTCCCATCTCTGGCCCCTGCTCTGGGCCCCTGTTCGCTGGACCAGGGGCTATAGGGACTGTGGCCCAGGCGGGGTCCTGGGACCTGAGTATCACTCCCTGCCACAGCCTCCACCGATCTCACTCCTGCCCCCCCTTCCCTAGAGACTCGTCTTCCCCACCCCGGCCCCCACCGTTTCGGTGGGTCTGTTTTTCTCATTGTCCCTAGGTCTGTCTCCCATCTCCTGGCCTGTCTGCCTGTGTGTCCAACTGTGTTTCTCCTCCACCTGGCACTCTCTCACTGTTCCATCTCTCTCCTTTCTCAGTGCACCCCCACCCCTGGCCGGCCAGCAGCCCCTGCTCTGGCTCGCTCCCTCTCTCCATCTGCCCACAGCTCCCCTCCGGCCTGGGGGCCCCAGCCAGCATGGGAGGGCGGGCCGGGAGGGGCGGCCACAGCCCCGGGTCCCGGCGCTGGCCTGACCCGGGGCCTTGCCCACTGCAGGTTATCACGGCGGCAGCTACAGCCCCGACGGGGTGGAGCCCGTCAGCCCTGTGAGCTCGCCCAGCCTGACCCACGACAAGGGGCTCCCCAAACACCTCGAGGAGCTGGACAAGAGCCACCTGGAGGGGGACCTGCGGCACAAGCAGCCAGGTAGGGCCCCACCCTGCCCCTGCAACCCCATGCACCCCACTTACCACAGCCCTATGAGAGAAGAAACGTCGTTGCCCCATCGTGCAGGTAGGAAAATCAAGGCAGCCAGAGGCGGGCGGGGTGGGGGGAGATGGGCCCCGCCCCCCCAGCTCAGGGCAGAGCTGGGATTCAGTGACAGCCCCCCCACCAGGCCCACGCCTCAGCCCCCGGCCCCCACAGCTGACCCGCTCTGCTCTGCCTGCAGGCCCCGGCAAGCTGGGCGGAGAGGCTGCCCACCTCCCACACCTGCGGCCGCTGCCCGAGAGCCAGTCCTCGTCCAGCCCGTTGCTCCAGACCACCCCAGGGGTCAAAGGTCACCAGAGGGTGGTCACCCTGGCACAGCACATCAGTGTAACTACCCCTTCTCTGCCCCCTCCTCATCGCCTTTGAACCTGGGCCAGGATGAGGTCCCGGGGAAGGGAGGGGGAGGGTCACACGCAGCCTCTTGGCTCTGAGGATAAACTGAGTCCTGGTGACCCAGACCCGGGATGTAGGGGTTGGCAAGGGCAAGCCATGCCAGGGGCCCCAGAGGCTCAAACTCAGGCATGGTCGCCGCCCCCTCATCAGCTGATGGAGCCCGGGGTGCGTGGGTCCACGATCCACATCTCATGTACACTGGCCGGTGGAATCTGACCCATCCAGGGGCCACCACTTTGAGACCTCGGGCCAGGGCCACCGCCCTGCGCACACAGGGACGCTGAGGCTGCTGTAGGCAGGCCTGAAGCACCCGGGAAGCCAAGAGCCAGGCCCGGTTCTGTCCCCAAAGCTCAGCAGCCTTTGTCCACTCAGAAGATTCTGGGGGGTTGGCTGTGGCCTAACCCTGCACTTCTGCCCCGACCTTTGGCCTGCAGGAGGTCATCACGCAGGATTACACTCGCCACCACCCACAGCAGCTCAGCGCGCCCCTCCCTGCCCCCCTCTACTCCTTCCCTGGAGCCAGCTGCCCCGTCCTGGACCTCCGCCGCCCACCCAGCGACCTCTACCTCCCGCCCCCGGACCACGGCGCCCCGGCTCGTGGCTCACCCCACAGTGAAGGGGGCAAGAGGTAAGTGTTGGGGGCGGGGTGACCTTGCCGTTCAGCTGCTCGGAGGCCTTCATCCTGTGGCTGCTGTGGGAGGGCTGAGCAAGTGCAAGGGCCACCTCTCGTGGCACAGATGAGAAACTGAGGCTCGGGGGGATGGAGGAGCTTGCTCAAGGCCACGGCGCTGGTGCGTAATAGCTGACTGTGCACCACACTGCGTGGGCTCCAGACACCAAACTAAGTACTTCCCACGTGTTAGCTGGGGTTCTCGGCGCAAGCCCGGCGAGGACAGGCAGTGCCGTCCCCGCGTCACCGATGAAGGTACTGAGGTGCGGAGAAGCGAGTTCATTTACCCCCAGGGATGCAGCCCGCAAGTGGCAGAGCGGGGATTCGAGCCAGAGCTGTGTGCTCAGCCTCCCTGCAGATAACACACACACTCACTTCTGGGTCCCCCAGGAGCGCTGGGGCTGGGGGAGGCCCCCAGCTCGAGGGGGCGCCGCACGGGTGAGGCACAAGGGCAGGAGGACAGCAGGACGTCTTTAGGGGGACAGTGGGGTCCCTGGCCTGGGGGGCAGCAGGGGTCAGCTACCAGACACGGGCCAAATCCAGCCCGCAGTCCAGGAGCTAAAGGTCCTAAAAGAAGAAACGACAGTGGAGCCCATGCGTGGCGCCCAAAGCCTGGAATAGCAGCCCTCCGGCCCTCTGTAGGAAGAGTGGCTGAGCTCCGACGTGGAGCAGGGCAGGGTTGGGAGGGGAGTGGAATCCCTGCGTCATTTTGGAGGAGAGAGCACTGAACTCTGACCGCAGCGGGGACCCTCTCTCCGCTCAGGTCTCCAGAGCCAAGCAAGACGTCAGCCCTGGGCAGCAGTGAGGATGCTATCGAACCCGTGTCCCCACCGGAGGGCATGGCAGAGCCTGGGCATCCCCGAAGTGCCATGTACCCGCTGCTGTACCGGGACGGGGAGCAGGTGGAGCCCAGGTACCTCCATGGCATCCCATCCTGCCCCCGGGATGCTCAAGACTCGGCCCCTTTGGCCACTCATGGCCTCGGTCCCCTGCTGTGCAGTTGGGGCTTGACAAGGGCTTTAGTGTGTGACTGAGATCTCTCAGGCCTGCTAAGCAGATGTCCCAGCTTGAGGGACCTTTGGCAGCTTCCCGTGCCTTGGGACTGGGGTGTCTTGTCTCGGGCCAGGCCCCTATTGCCGGCACTTGCTGAGGACCTGAGAAATAATGAGCTAAATGTGCTCGACCGATCAGGTAGATGGAGACAGAGAAAAAAGCCAGGTCCGTGGGCCTTGGGAAAAGATGTGGTCCGAGTGCATGTCCAGTTCCTGAGGCCCCTTGCAAGGGGCTGGGCTATTGCACATAGACCACGATGACCCATCAGGGCAGCTGGGGCTCTCCAGAGACAGCCTGAGCCCAAGGATAGGTGAACTACAGAGAAGAGTGCAGGAGACGTGGTCCTTGAAAGATGAAGGATGTAGGCGAGGGGTAGGAGAAGCTTGGTTCTGAATTTCTAAGGCAGGTCAGGTAATGGGTGCCCCATTGTTGAAGGTGTGCAAGCTCAGCACTGGGCAAACTGACCTGGGGTATCTGATCTTCGCAGCAGGATGGGCTCTAAGTCTCCAGGCAACACCAGTCAGCCACCGGCCTTCTTCAGCAAACTGACCGAGAGCAACTCCGCCATGGTCAAATCCAAGAAACAGGAGATCAACAAAAAGCTGAACACCCACAACCGGAACGAGCCAGAGTACAGTAAGCGGCGCCCCCGCCCCCCGGGAAGCAGGGGCCCCTGTGGGGCTGGGAGCCAGCACGGCACTAGGACACACACGGTACTTCCTAAAGCCAGGTGGGCCTGCCGACCACCTCTCCCCCGGCCCTTGCCCCGCATTCAGGGAGCCCCAGGAGGGCTGTCCCTTCGCTGTCGGTGCTGGCTGGTACAGGATGCGGCGCTAGGCACATAGTGGGCGCACGGTGAATACTCGCACGAGTGGTTCTGTGCAGAAGCCCATACTGGGTTCCAGGGAGTGGGGGCCTGCCCACCCAAGGGCCCTGTATGTCCCTAGCTCACAGTGCTCATCGTATTCACGATTTTTTCCCCCCATGTATGTGGCTCCTGGATGTAAATCCTAACTTTGCTCCCCCACCCTCAGCACAGGGCCTGGCACATAGCAGATCATAGCACAGGAAGAGCCTGCCACAGTGCCCGGCCGGGACTCGTTAGCTGGGGGAGGTCTGGGGGCATTGCAGAGGTTTTTCGGACACTTTCTGGGGCTGGAGCAGCAACCTTGCGGGGATTCCCCGGCCTGGTCTGGTCACTCCGGAGCCTTGCCAAGTGCAGCCCGCGGGCCAGCAGGTCAGCAGCCCCAGCAAGCTGGTTAGAGATGCAGACTCTCCAGCCCTGCTGAATCTGTGTGCACTGAAGCACCTTGCCTAGACCAGACAGAGGATGGGGGTGGGGGGCATTTCCCGGTGACTTCCTAGGACCTGTGGGCCCCTAGGCCTCACCCATCTTGTCACCTATCCCTCCAGATATCGGCCAGCCCGGGACGGAGATCTTCAACATGCCCGCCATCACCGGAGCAGGTAACGGTCCAGCCTGGGCTCCACGGCCACCAGCCCCCTCCCCGCTCCCCCGCCCCCCCTCGTGGCTGCACACTGGGGAGGTTAGGCTGGTGTGTGCGATCTGGAAGGAATCTCAGGGAGTGTGGCCTGGGAGGTCACTGGGGCCCTCACCCCAGCCATAGTCATGTGGATGGGAGGCCTTTCTTAGTTCAAATGTGTAATTCCCTCTGGACTCCGCAAACCCAGCAGTGGGGACACAGACTCGCACAAAGGGCTGGTGAAGCTTTGCAAAGAGTCTGCGTTAGAATTACATGTCAAGGCCTCCTGGTGTGTTTAGTACAGAATTAGGGGCACACACAGCTATCTGGAAACACCAGCTCTCTGCCGGGGCCTCAGGTGGAGATCTGAGTGTGGACGGGGGGGCATGGGCGTGTGCTTGGTGTGCATGGCCTTCACTCAGGGTCCACGTGAGCGCTTTTATAGAGAGAACACCCATTTTACTCAAAAATTCGAACCAGCTGGGGGAACAATGAAGATGTATTACAGAGATGGGTGAAAACTCACATGCATTTTTAAACTAAAACTTGAGCCTGCTGTGATGTTTGGGATTTGGGGAACCCTCGGGGTTGGGTCCCCAGTCGCTGGTAGGGGCCACACTGTGTGTTTCTGCTGCTGCATGGAAAGACCGGGGTGGGGCTTTAGGGACTCGCCTTCCGAAGTCTGGCGCGAAGAGACAGCACAGAGCAGAGCTGGGACTGGCGCCTCCATGGGCAGACCCTGTCCGGGGGGTCCCGGGGTCGTTTGCAGGGCTGTGTGCTCTGTGCCCTGGGCCTTCAGTGGGGTGTCTGAGGCCAGCGGAGCTGAGGGCAGATGGGCTAGCCTTCCCGGGGGCCATCAGAGGGGCCTCGAGCCCTGGGAACGTGGTGAGCAAAAGACAACCATTGGATTTTATCAAAGGGTCATCAGGGCCTCCAAGTGGGGGTCTCGACTGGTGCTCGCCTGTCTACCCAGAGACTAGATCCAGGGGCCATCGCTGAGCCTCGGACAACAGGGAGGAGACAATTTGGTCGAACCAATGAGATGGTTAGAAATGAAAGTTTCCGGAACTTTGCAGTTCTTGACACAGGCAGTGGACACATAGGCACATAGGTCCGTAGAAATTCATGCAGCGCTGCGATGAAGATCTGTGCTGAGACGTCCATGTGCATCCTATTCGACTTCTCTGTAAGCAGTTTAGCACGCACACAGAGTGTCCACAGGCCGCGGTCTCTGCTGCTCAGCCCCCCGTCAGACTTTGCCTCTGTAACCGGAGGTGGTCAAGCTTCCTTCCTGCCCGGCACCATCCGATCGCGCACCCGTGACCTTGGGTGGAAGGCTCAGGAACATCTGGGATCGCTAGATGCCGATCTACCAAGAAACCACCGCGGCCTGTACCCGTCACATCATCTTTTCCACTCTGCACTGTTTTCTTAGCGTGGAGGATCACAAATACTTTTTTTTTCCTCCTTTTATTTATTTTTTTGAAGTGCCGATGAAATGTGGCCAAGACACAGCTAAAAAGGTGGAGAGAGTGTGTCCCCGGCTGTGACCAAGTTTGGAGCTAAAAGGAAGAAAAGAAAAACAAAATGCAGGGAGCAAATGGTTGCCTGAAGCGTGATTCTCAAAGCGGCCAAGAGTCCATGTAGTTCACGGACGAGGTGGGGGGCAGAAAGCCCCGCCCGCCGGCCGCCTGCTTTCCATACCCTTGGCCGGAGTGCCAGTTTTAAAATCCATGCAGACATTGCCCGAGGACAACTAGGCAGAGGGGGTTTGAGCTTCATGGGCAAGGTCTGGTTTAGCAAAAATGTGGAGAAGAGATACATCCCCGGGGTTTGTGGAAGTCCCCAGAACGATCCCCAAGAAAAAAGAAAGGGACAGAACATCTGGTGAATGAAAAAGGCCGGATTCACGTGGCTACGACATAGCGGGTGTCTGCAGGGGTCTGGCGGGGACCAGTTTGTTGACTGGACCACTTCGTGACGAGGTGGCCGGGCTGGGGGCGGTCATGCAAGTGTCTCTAGCTCTGCCCTGTCCCCCGCACGCACAGTAACTGCATGGCTACGACCCCCACCTCACCGTCCGTCTCTGCACCTCTCTCTCCTCGTGGCTCCCGGGCAGGCAGGGGAGAGGCTGGGGGAGGAGAGTTAGGCCCAGCGTGGGGTGGGGGGCTGGGGGGCAGGGGGGGTTGTGGGCACTGAGGGTCCCAGACCTCGAGGGGGTCACCTTCCCTCCCAGAGTCTCTTCCTCAGCCCCCACCAGCCCCGGGGACCCAGGGTGGACCCCCCACACCCAGTACCAAGCTCTGGCTTGACCTGGTTTCCCAGCTGTGTCTCCCCAAACAGGGCGTCCCCCTCTGACTTCCGCCCCCGACACATACACGCATGCGCGCGCACACACCTTCCCCAACTCCCTCTTCAAGGCCACTTGGAATTTTAAAAGAGAAGCAGCCCCAGCTGGGATTTCGGGGGGTAGCGGGGGCGAAGGGGCTTCTGATTTCCCAGAGGGCAGAGTAGGAGAGAGACTGGGGGGTGGTCATCTCGCCTCCCAAACCCCCAAACCCCAGGGCCTGAGTCCGAGGGGGGCCCCCACCCCATCACCAAGCTGCAGGAAAATAAGGGGGGTTAGAGAAATGGAGAAACATGTTGCTTTGCCAAAATGTGCTCACTGTGTATTCTCTCTTCTCCTCCCCCCCCCCCCCGCTTCTCTCTCCCTCTCTCCGTTGTCCCTCCGGCCCCCTGGCCCCTGTGTGTGTCTCTCTCCCAGGCCTCATGACCTGCAGAAGCCAGGCGGTGCAGGAGCATGCCAGCACCAACATGGGGCTGGAGGCCATTATTAGAAAGGCGCTCATGGGTAAATATGATCAGTGGGAGGAGCCCCCGCTCAGCGCCAATGCTTTTAACCCTCTGAATGCCAGTGCCAGCCTGCCCGCTGCTATACCCATAACCGCTGCTGACGGACGGAGCGAACACGCACTCACCTCGCCAGGTCTGCAGGCCTCCCCCGCCTCGGTCCTCCAGTCCCACCCGCCCCGTCTGTCCCCATCCCGGTGTCCTTAATCTTGTGCCTCCGCGTTCCTCTGACCAACCCCCTCCAGCTTTGGAGCTTGTGACTTTATTTTTGTGCGTGTTTGACGTGGGTCTGGAGTTGGCCAATCCCCATCTGGGCGGGCACAGCCCCGGCCCTCCCCTTGCCCACTAGGTCCAGAGGAGCTGCTGCTTTTCTAAAAACACTCACTGCTGTCCGAGCCCTGCCCTGCCTTCCTCCCCTGCTGGACACAGGTCCCCGGGATGCCCATGTCCGGGCCCGTTTTGTGTCTCCTTAGAGGAGATGAGGCTAGAGCAAGGACTCACCTCTGTGTGGATCAGGGTGACCCTTCCTGACAGCCAGGCCCGTGGGTCCAACATCTGCTGGGGCCATCGTGTGTGACCTTGGCTGGCCTGGGACCTGATGGGGCGGACGCCCATGTCTGTGTGCTAGCCCCAAACTCAGATGAGTCGGGAAAGCAGAGGGGCCGGCTCCCCCTCTGCCCCAGGTCCCTGATCAAGACTGCATATCTGAGCAAGGAGACCTCGGGCTCATTTGTCTGACCTGACAGTCTGGTCCCAGGAAGTTTCTGGACTTAGCGGGGGCCCATGCCTGGCCTCGGGGGTCCCGGCTTCTCTGCAGAGGGCCTACAGCCTTCCCAGCCCCGACACAGTCCTGGGGCAACGGTCAGGGTCAAGCCAGAGGCCTGAGGCTTCATGCTCGGGGTATCAGCCACTGGGTGGGTAGGTGGGCCTCAGGGCGGCCTGAGGGGCCTTTGAAAATAGTTAAACTCACTCCCCTAGTAGAAACCCACCTCTAGGTTCGGGCCCAGGGCTGGATCTGTCCATCTGGTCGATCTCCTCGGCATCCCGGCAGGGCCGAGCTGCTGTCCTCCCCGTCCGTGGGGACCCGAGAGGCAAGCAGCCAGGGCCTCACCCGCCCCCACCCTCACCATGTGAGTGCTGTCTCTCCTTCACAGTCCAACGTGGCCCTTTCCTGTGTGTCCCCCTGCAGGTGGTGGCGGGAAGGCCAAAGTCTCTGGCAGACCGAGCAGCCGAAAAGCCAAGTCCCCGGCCCCAGGCCTGGCGTCTGGGGACCGGCCACCCTCGGTCTCCTCAGTGCACTCGGAGGGGGACTGTAACCGCCGGACCCCACTCACCAACCGCGTGTGGGAGGACCGGCCTTCGTCCGCAGGTGGGCATCGGGGAGTGGGGAGTGCGTGGGCCCGCTGGGTGTCAGCCCACCGGATGCACGGGTCATCAGGAGTCGAGGGGGGTGGGGTGCCCGAGCACCTACTGTGTGCAGAGTTCGTGGTCTGGCCTCTTCTAAGAAAATGGCCGAAGGGCCCAGGTGGAGAGAAAGGGTGTGCTTAGGGCTGTCCAGGGAAGCTGGCCTCTGGCCCTGACCAGAGAAGAAGGGGAGGGTTCAGGAAGTGAAGAGGGGGCTGATCCCACAGGCTTGGCGGGTCGCAGGGAGCCAGGTTTTCTTGGTGAGCGCGAGGAGCCACCGGAGGGTTGTAAGTGGGAACATGCCTGATCTGATGTAGGTTCAGGAGAGCCCTGGGCCAAGGGGCAAGGGCAGAAATGGCCAAGAGGCCCCCACTGGCCTAGGCCCCAGGTGGCCAGGGCACGATATCGGTGAGGAGAGATGAGCAATTTTGAGGAACTTCGCAGGAGTTAGGAGGGGTTGGGACAGTGGCCAGACCGGGGTGGGGGGCCCAAGGCCCAGTCCCCAGGGTGGTAGATGGGTGGGCCCATCGGGGGGTCCCCAGCTCACGGGGGCCTCCTGACAGTCTCTTCGGGTCATTCCGGCAGGTTCCACGCCATTTCCCTACAACCCCCTGATCATGCGGCTGCAGGCGGGTGTCATGGCCTCCCCACCCCCACCTGGCCTCCCCGCGGGCAGCGGGCCCCTTGCCGGCCCCCACCATGCCTGGGACGAGGAGCCCAAGCCACTGCTGTGCTCGCAGTATGAGACGCTCTCCGACAGCGAGTGACTGTCAGAACGGGGTGGGGGGCGGCGCCGGGGCCCAGCGAGTGGCCAGAGCAGCCGGGCAAGGAGCGGGGCAGCCGCTGACTCCCCCCACTGAGGAAGGAGCCCCTGAGTCTGCCTGCGCACCCGTCAGTCCGTCCGTCCAGAGCCGGCATCCTTGCCTGTCTAAAGCCTTAACTACGACTCCCGCCCCGGGCTGGTCCTGTGCAGTGACCTTACTCAGGGGATGTTTACCTGGTGCTCGGGAGGGGAGGGGCCGGGGAGGGGGCGCGGCAGCGTGTGGTGGCCACACGCTCGTAGCCGGGGCGGCCAGGGACCCAAAGCAGGATGACCACGCACCTCCCACGCCACTGCCTCCCCCCTTAACACATTTGGAACCAAAGTCTAAACTGAGCTAGCAGCCCCCGCACCCTCCCTCCGTCCCCATTCCGCTTCTCGCTCTGGACAGACGGACACGGGCCCTGTCCAGCCCCCAGCGCCCTCGTCCCGGTCTCCACGGACTGCCCCGGTCAGCGAGACCGCGGGAGACCCAGCTGGGCCGGATGGGCGGGCGAAAGGGCCAGGTGCGGTCTGGGGCGAGCGGACGCTCCAAGGAACTGGACTGTTTGTCTCACACAGCGTTGCCGCAGCGGTGGGAAGGAAAGGCAGGTGTAAATGATGTATTGGTTTACAGGGTATATTTTTGATACCTTCAATGAATTAATTCAGATGTTTTACGCAAGGAAGGACTTTACCCAGTATTATTGCTGCTGTGCTTTCGATCTCTGCTTCCCGTTCAAGAGGCGTGTGCAGGCCGCCAGCCAGTGACCCCATCGTCCGCAGGACTGAGGGGGGCGGGGGGTGAGCGCCCCTGCATCCTCTCCCCCTTCCTTGGGCAGAATGAATTTGATGGGTATTCTGTGGCCGCCATCTGCGTACGGCGGTGGCATTCTGTCATTTACACACGTTGTTCTCATTAAAAAGCAAATTATACTCAAGTTACAAAGGCTGCTTCTCTCCCTCGGCCTGGGCAGCCAGGAGGGCGGGTGCCTGGGGCCTCGGGGGACAGCGGGAATGTGACCCTGGAGGGGCAAGGAAACACCCCCCGCAGCGCACCAGACGCGTCCCCTCTGCAGGTGAGTATTTCCATCCACGGTAAGAATGTCACCATGAGGGGTTCGAACAGTCGCACACGTGCTGAGAGCGTCGGACATTCATACCTGTGAGCGGACGGTATCGAGTCTGCACACCTTGCTGGGGCACCCGACATGCACACCTGGGGGGGTTCCCGCCCCCACACCCACGGAGAGAGCACCGCAGTCGTGTTCAAGATGGTCACTGTCAGTTCGTCACCGCTGAGTACTTTTCATTCCATTCCTGCCAACGTCGTGCTCAGAAACAGACCCTCGGCCGTCACCGCTTTCTTTGAATGCGAGGCAGAAGGGAGAACAAGCCTCACCTGCCCAGGTCTTGAAACAGCCACCAAGCTGCGGCCGCTTGCAGCTTTGGCAGAAGGTGTCCCCGAAAGGCGCCCCGCGCTTCGCCTCCCGTGTTCCTGACGAGCGAGGCCCGGCTGTGAGGCCACGGACAGAGGCTGTTGGCCCTCGCCTGCTCCTTACCCCCCTGCGGCCACCTCGTCTGCCACCCTGGCCCGTGCCGTGTCCTCCAGACTCTCACCCAGTCCTGGGTCCCTGGGGCAAATCCCAGCCCGCACTGCCGGGCTGGGTGCCTGATTCTGGAAGGGCGTTGGGGAGGTCTCACTGCCCACCATGCTGTCTGCCCGCCCTGCACGTGTGCGGGTGTGTGCGGTGGGCCCTCGGGGGGTGCCCGCTGCCTGTTCACCCGTAAGGGCTCCTCCCTCCCCCCCCCCCCCCCCACCCCCCGCCGCCGCTCTGGCCTGGCCTCAGGGCCCCCTGCAGCCAAGAGCCAAATAGCCACCTATCAGCCACCGCCACGCGTCACCGGCCCGAATGTGGACCTCGTGCCCACCCCCTTCTCAAGCAGAAGTCTGAGAACCTGCAGCCCGGCAGAGCCAGGGTCGGCCCCCCTTGTGGGCTGAGGGGCCACCGACTTGTGTCCCTTTCGGGCTCTGCAGAGTCCCGTCTGCAGAGAGCCTGCCCGACGTGTGGACAGCCGGCAGCCAGGGAGGCACACGGCTGGAAGGCCGCCGGCTGCCATGCCCAGTCCGGGGTCTGCTCTTGGGGGCGGCCCTGGGTCTCTGGGACCCTTGGGAGCTCTGAGGTGTTCGGGAGGTGGGCTCTCTGCCCCTCACGGGGGTCTAGGACTAAAAGTGAAGCTCCCAAAATCTTCCACAGGGTAGGCTCTTTCTGTGCATCCTGCTAAGCCTGGGCGTCATGGTCCTGGAATCCTCCCTGCCCCTGTCCCTCAGGCTCTTGGCCCAGGGGTGCTGGCCCCTTGGCCCCCCCAGGGACAGACACCCCCAAATACCCAGAGAGGAGCCCAGCCTGGCCCAGCCAGCTTGCCAACAGGCCGATGTGTCTGGCCAAGGGGATAGCATTTATTCAGTTCTGAAACCGCCGGGCAAGGCTCCGATGAGGTGTCACCAGCGAGGGTGGCCGCGGGTCCAGGGCGCTCCTGCCCCTCACCAGACCCCAGCCTTACGCTCAGCACTGTAGAGACCCCATGGGATTCGAGTGGGCAGAGGAGAGAGAACCAGGGTCCCCTGGAGGCAGAAATTGCCATCCCCTGCCCAAGCTCCACACTGCTGCTGCCCAGTTCCCCCGGCTGGCCGGCACCCCACCTCCCCAGGGTGTGTATCTGGGAGGCCCCAGGAGTGGGGCTGGAGGAGGGGCCCAAGTCCTCCAGGGACTCTGCCCAGCCTCCCTGACACTCTGTATCACCCTAAGTTTCTCCTGCCAGCCTGTGGCATGAGGCGAGATGAGCAGAGAAGCCTGGAGCCTGGCCTGGTGGTGACTTTCTGTGGAGCCTTGGGGACATTGTGAGTGGCCGTGGGCCTCGTGCATCCCCCACAGGGTTCAGCCGGGCACCTGGGCTGTAGTATTGAGGCCGGCAGGCAGGTGGCAGTGTCGGGCCACCAAAGGGTCCTGTCCTGGCTAGGGCCTCCCTCCTCCACTTGGGGCGTAGGCCAGCCCCCATGTGGAATCCAGGATGGGTCAGCCCGTGTTGGCCACACCAGCCACCAGGGTTGGGCCACACATGCTGGTGCCACCCAGGATCCTGTGGCACCTCCCTCAGCTGCAGTTAGACCAGAGTGATCTGGGAGGGGGGGGCGCATGGTCCTCTCCGCCAGCCCGTCTCTGTGGCCTCAGAGCCAACACCATCTAGCAGCTCTGTCCGTCTTCCTCTGCGGGCCAGTGGCCCTGACCCAACACAGGGGTGTAGGGAGAGCTCATGGCCACCCTGTCGTCCACCCTCGATCAACCAGTCCTCAACCCCCGAAGAGTTCATTCCACCCCAGTCTTGTTTGCTTTTCTCACTGTTCCATCTTTGAGACGGAGGCCTATGCTGTTCCCTGGACCCTCATCTCCCCGGAAAACTCCTACACACACTTCAAAACCCAGCTGGGACTGTGCCTCTTCTAAGATCTCCTACCTCCCCATCTTCTTTCCCCTCCGGGTCTCTGATAACACACTGTGAGCTACCCGTGTCCCGAATCGGACAGAACCCCTCAAGGACAGAGCTCTTGTTTTTCCCTCCTGCCCTGTTGCTGACTGAGCTCCCTGGGCGACAGTGTTGGGTTGAACGGACTCTGTGAGGAGCTGATCTAATAGGAAACCAGCATATGATCTGTAAAGTGAAGGACAGTGGTTGGCAAAGGTCCGCGTGTCTTGGGACATTGGGAAGTTGGCTAAATGCACATTCTTGGGCCCGGACTAGAGAATATGAATGTGAATCTGTAGGTCTAGGATTCAGCCTGAGAATCTGTGTTCTCAGCAAACAGCCCAGTGTTTCTGATGGGGTGGTCTGCAGCCCTCAGGACGGTGGCGGGGGTGGGTGCCCAAGGTCGGAGCTCGACCCTGGCTGAGAACCTGGCTCCTCCCTCTGTCTGGCCGGAGGTCTCCGGTCGGGGCTCATGTGGTAGGAGGAGGCCCAGCCTAGAGAGCCATCGCCCACAGGGAGGGCAGGGACAGACCGGTCCCCAAGGCACTGGGCTTGGCTCAGATCAAGCCCTCTTGGGGCTGGGGGACGCAGACACTGTGATAACCGAACTGGAGCAGTCAGGGTGGCTTCCTGGAGGTGGTAGCTCTTGGGAGGGCAGGGGAGGGGAGGATGGTCTGAATGGAGGGAGCCTGTGTGGGCCAAGGCTGGGAGGGGAGACCAGACAGGGACATTTGGGAGCCCAAGGTGGCCACATGCAAGTCAATGTGGGGGCCCAACAAGGTAATTTGCTGGTTTTCTGAAATTGGGGTGACATGGGCTTGCAAGCGTGTTGGATGGATTGAAAGAGAGAGAAGCCTCTGAGACCAGTGGGGGGCCAGGATGGGGGTGGCACAGCAGAGAAGGGCAGGACAGAGCCCCCCCTTGCCCGGGGAGTGGGTCGGGGCAGGCAAGGGCTCCACCCTCACCAGCCACTTAACGGCTGTGTGACCCTGAGCCAGCCATTTGAACCCTCTGTGCCTCAGTCACCGCCTCTGTAAAAGAGGATGGTGTGGTCATTGTTGTTCTCTTGCAGAGACCCTGTTCCCTCACCTGTGCGGGACTCAGACAGGGCCACGAGGCAAGGAACGGACAAAGAGGGTTTGATAGAAAATGCAAGGGGCTCTGATTTGCATGTCTGGGGAGTAAAGGGATGGCCAGCTGCTGGGGGGAGGGCTCCCTGGCCACCCTGTCCTCGAGAAGGCTAAGGAGGGCCATCGTGTGGATGGATCCTCCGGGGAGCCCGGGGGCTTGGTGGCCGTGTGACAGACCAGCGGCCGGGTCCCACTTCCGCACTAGGACTTCTCCCCAGCGACCTCCCAGGGTCCCCGTGAGGATGAAGGGGCCAGGCGGCCTGCAGATGGAGCGAGTGCTCTGAGGCTTCACTAGCTGCTCTTGTCACTGCCACTCTGGGGAGGAGGGGACAGGACTGCGTCCAGAGGATGGGGACACCTGTGTGGGGGGAGGGGGCTGCTGAGTTTGATTCGAGGCTCGTGGGTGTGAACCCGGAGACGGCAGGAGTGACCGCAGCAGAGGGTCAGCAGGGGTGTTTGGGGCCAGAGCGGGCCCGCGTGAGGGGCTTCTGCCCGGGCGCGGGTGAAGGAGGCCCTGCCCTGCCCCCAGGAAGGCTCCCGGCCGGGTCAGCTGCAGCAGAGGCTCGACAAGCGCCAATTCTCACCTCCCACAGCCTGGGAGGCGAGAGCGAGTGCCCATCTGGCAGATGCTTAGAGATGTTAATGACGTGCCCTTTTTCCAGCCACGGGGCCTGTCCCCAGTGTGGTCTCCTGCGCCGGGGGACTGCGTGAGTGACATCTGCCCCCCGGGGGCTTCCTAGTGCGTCTAGGTCCGGGACGCGAGCAGGGCCAGGAAGGTCGCAGCCTGAGCCTGGGCGCAGGGGCACTGCGCTCCGATCTCTTTATTTGGGGGGTGGAAATCCCAAGGATCTAGATGAATCTGGCATCTCTTCTGCTTGGTCTCCAGGTCTTCTGGGTTCCCAGGAAAACCGGGGTGTGCTTGGGGGACTTCTGGGCAGCTGCCCTTGCTCCCCACTTTCTCCTCCTCCCAGGCTGGGCCTCACACAGCCCCCTGGAGACAGGGAGCAGTCAGGGACTCCAACTTGCTGTGCTCTCTGTCTGGGAGACCTGGCTGGGATGGAGGTGACGCCCGGAAAGGGAAGGGAAAGACATCGTCTCAGCCCCCCGAGGGCGAGGACTCATGCTGGGGGGCCCAGGCAGGGGCCAGAAAGCTGCAGCTGGAGGCTGTCAGCTACCTGTGCACCTCGGAAGTTCCTTCTTGAAGGGCGGCCCCAGGGGCACCCCCAAGGTCGCTGGATTCATCGCATCATAACTGCACAGGTCCAGAAGCCCAACCCATTCTTCCT